ATCCTAAACCCTAAACCCCAACGCCCCGAGGAGCACTAGCGGAAAAACGGTCTAGGGCTCAGGGCTCCAGGGCTCAGGGGTTTGGGGCTCAGGGTTTTGCAGCGTGTTGATGTTAAAGACTAGAGTGAGAGAGCTGGGGTTTTAATGCAGGAACCTGACTAAGAAACCTTGGGCCTTTATTAGGGTTCCATGTATAATCCTACTATTTTGGGGTTATAGGCCCAGGATTTCTTCATTGGGTTTCCACATAAGGGTGATGTGCCCAGGGTGTGCAAGGTCCCGGTTTTTTTGCTCTTGGGCTTCGCCTTGGCTTTGGACAGAATTTTAGGATGGTGCAGCTCAGAAGGTTTGCTGCCTTAAGGCGTGGTATCTTCGGTTTAGTGTCCCAAACCTTAATCCAAAACCCTGCTGACACAGGGGCCTTAAGAATTAGAATGGGTTTTGGAGAGCCGATGCTGGGATTGTCGGGGAAGAGTTTTTACTACTTGTTCAAGTGCCTGTATCCCTAGACCTCCAATCTTAAAACCTAAACCCCAAATTTTTCTACCCTAAACTCTGAAGCCTAAACCCAGAAACTTAAACCCTAAACTCGTGAAACCCCTCAGCTGCCCCGATATCCAGGGGCGCCTTCTCCTGTGCGGCCGCTCGCAGGTTCTCGCACATCTGCTTGACCTCTGACGAGGTGTAGGGCTTTAGGGGTTTAGGGTTTAGAGGGTTTAGGGAATAGGGTTTAGGGATTAGGGTCTAGGGATTAGCAGATCTGTGAGCTCAGGTCTTCGATGTGTTAGGGTTTTTAAGGGCCCTTTTTCAGTCTGCACTCCGCGTCTTGAAAGCCCCTTTGGGCGGGCAGATTACCTATGTGTTAGGGCTTAAGGCTTTGGGTTTCGAGCTTAGGGTTTGGGTTCAAGGTGTAGTTTTGGTTTGGGGTTTAGGGTTGAAGGTTTTCGTGCCAGGGTTCTCGGCATGTCGCTCTAAATCTTCAACCCTAAAGCCCTGAAGCCCTAAAACCCGAAACCTTCAGCAGCAAAACACCTAAACCCTGATCTTCCAACTTTAGCAACTGACAACACCTGGGACCCCACCTGCCCGGAAACACTGAAACCGCAATACCAGACCCAGCAGTCCGGAAGCCCCATAATCTCATGCTTAAAGCCCTGAAACCCTCCTAAACCCTAAAAACCCAAGCCCGAAACCCTAGACCCGAGTAGCCACAGAGGGGCCAAAATTTTGACAACTACCCACATGTAAAGCCTGCGCGCCCTAAACATAAGCCCTAAACAGCGACTCTTCGGCTCGGAGTCCCTACCTCGGGCGTTGCATCACTGGCTTCTCCGACAGCTCCCGCCCTGAAGTCAAGGTTTGGGGAGCAAGGTTTAGGGGTTTAGAGGTTTAGGGCTTAGAGGGTTTAGGGGTTTAGGGCTTCGGGGGTTTAGGGACTAGGGTTTAAGGGTTTAGGGGTTCAGGGCTTCGGGTCTAGGGGTTTAGGGCTTAAGTTCGGAGCTTGCTGTTGAGATGCGCATGGGCGAAAATCTCTTGCGACAGTGCACTTTTGAGCGCATCGCAACATGGCGACTGGCCACTGTAGTCTGATAGTGGAAGGCTTTGTTTTTGTTCCTCCCACCCCACGGGTCTGAGCCGGCAAGCCTATAGGTGTTGAATATCGGAGCCTGAATAATTAGAACAGGGTTATGGTGCCAATTATACTACAGTTATAATAAGGAGCCCACAAAATAGTGTTTGCAACCATTTAGCCCCTACAGTAACTCCAGGGGCCTCAATAATTACCTAGATTGCTTTAAATAGGGTTCCTTGTTCTATTTATAGTATAGGGGGCCCCAAAACCCTATTCTGAGTAGTAAGGCCCCCATGTTAGATTTAGCCTTGAAACCCTGGGTCCTGGAATCTGTCCTTTCCGTGTGGCCCATGTTTCGGGGGGGTCCCGAACCAGCAAATCACACTTCAACCGGACGTCTGATCCGGCTGATGAAACATCTAAATGCCAACCGCAAAACCCATACTATAGGGGCCTTAATGATTAGAATAGGGATGTAGGTACATTATACTATACTTTTGTACTAGGTAATTATAGGGGACCCTATATTCACCCTGAACTCCAAAACACCCCAACCCTGAAGCTTGAAGCCCCAAACCCTGACAGGATCGGAGCTCGGGCTTCTGGCTTAGGGGTTTGGTTTTTACGTGTAGGATTTAGGGGTTTAGGGTTTAGGGTTTAGGATATTGGGTTTGGGGCTCAGGGTCTGGAGAGAAACCGAGTGAAACTTGAGATCCTGTTGTTCCTGCAAGAGCACAGAAGACCGAATGTCTTAAGACTCCAAAAAAAAAACTGTCTTCTGCCAAGCCCCTTGCGACATGGGATCTGTGGCCTAGGCATGGAGGAAACAGCCACAGGAAAAAATACACAGATCTGGAAACCAGGAACCCCTCAAAGGAACCCTCAGAGGAACCTATATGCACCCGCTTAAAGGAACCTATCTGAAACCCTTAAAGGACCTGCAAAGTATCCCATCATAGGACCAAAGCCACGTTGTTGGAGGATCTGAGTCTATTTCAAGATACCTTGAAGTCTAGGTCTGAGGTTCCTATAAAATATAGGGGCCTTACGAATTAGTATAATATGATAGGGTTCCTTTAAAGGGTCCTTAAACGGCTACTATCAGGGATCTATAAGCGTAGTATAGTACAGGGGCCGTAATAATTTTGAATAGGGTTTCGGTGCTCTTTATATTTTTATTGTGACAAGGAGCTCCCAAAATCGTACTTGTAATTATTTAGGCCCCTGTAGTAGTGTCTTTGATTCAGAGCTGTGGATGGTTTCGGGTTCCTCTCGGGCTCTCGCGTCGGCTACATGGGAGTGTTATAGGGCCTTGGGAGGGTTTTATGATCCAGGCCTCTCCGGGTACATTGGAGCCACGAACAGGTATGGGGACTGCGCGGGGACGGCGTTACGAAAAACGATTCCGACTTACTGTAAGGGTTCTAGCGGAGCTTCACAAGGAATCTATGAAGGGGAGTTTACGGCTCAAGGGGATCAGGTGTTAAAACCAGGACCTAGGGGTCAAGGGTTTGGGGGTTAAATGTTTCGGAATTAGGGTGTGGCATGCAGGGCTGAAGGTGTTGGCGTTGAGGACTTCAATGGTCTAGCGTACTGGTGGCGGGGCTCAGGGGTTCGGCGAAGGCTGCACCATAACCTGAGGATTCAATCTTCACCCCTCTAAGTCACTGTCACCGTCTCCTGGCAGCACAGCTGGCAAAATCGACATCTAGGAAAACTACAAAGACAACAGAAGCGCGAGGGCAGCTTCGCTGTGAGAATGCCGATCATCACGGTCTTAATCCTGGTCGTCACCACCACCATTGCGCAGCACCGGCAGGTCTCACATCAACATCATCACCAGGTAAGGTAGAGTAAGGCAATAAGAATAAGGAAGCCAAGAAGAAGAACGAGAAGAAGAACGAGAAGAAGAATGAGAAGAAGAAGAAGAAGAAAATAACAACAAAACCATCTGCTACATACAAGCTTCTGTAAGCCGTCTCGCCTGAAACGGGAAGGGCCACTGTAACAGGGAGAGCTACCCCACCGTCAAACGCTGCGCAAAGTCGATGCGGACACATTCTGTCGTCTGTCCTCTGCTATGCTGTTAAATGATAACGAACTGTCCTACAGTTTATACATGATATTCCATACTGTCATACTGTCCATATTCTAACACTATAACCCTGAACCTTAAACCTGCAATATTTTCCACTTATTCCATGCTTTTTTAGCAGAGCTCGGACTTCAGGTGCCAGGGTCCGGGGTCGGGTTCGGGGATTCGGGTTTAGGACGCAGGCTTTAGGCTGTAGGTCCGGGTCTAGGGTTCAGGGCGGTCGGGGGTTTAGGGGTTGGGGGTTTAGGGTTTAGGGTTTAGGGTTTAGGGTTTAGGGTTTAGGGGTTTGGGGTTGTGAGGTTCACGGCTTAGGATCCGGATTTCGGTCTGAGGGCTTGGGGCTTGGGTACCTATAGGGGCGTGAAGAATTACCAATACTATTTTGGGGTTCCATATAATCACAATGTTGTAGTGAGCCCCAAGACCCTATTCTACCTATTAAGGCCCCTATATTAGGCCTATGCCTGCGGGATATATGGCAGCTCATAGCCCGGGGGATAGCAATGAACCCCAAGCTCAAAGCCTAATGTAGGGGCCTTGATAATCTTTCGCTGCCATGCATAAGCTCCAAGGAGCAGCTCTAGGGTGGGGATTTAGCGGCGAAAGCTTTAGTAGGCTTCACACATGAGCCCCTGTTTGGGTTTAGGGTTTAGGGTTTAGGGTCTTAGGGTTTAGGGCTTTAGGGTCTGTCAAGAGATCGAAAACAACATTAACTTGGTGGTACAATAGATACCTGAACGGGAAAGTTCATCTCTGATGGGAACGATGCTGAACCAGTGCCATCTATACTAGGGGGTATCCCATTTCGAGCTACCATCCAGCAGCGCGGGAAATGTTCGCAGGACTCCCTATTTGCTTCAATGGCTTGTCAACAGTAAGGCGGAGCTTGCAGCTTTATGGGGTGTCTCCGTGTGTGCACACGCTCGAGGGATACTTTCCTAACATATGAGTCCTGGTTCTTGTGAAAGAAGAAACCATGTTCAGTGTGTTTAGGGCCTTTGGATCTGTTCGTGTATGCTTGTCTCAACGAACCCTGAGGACAAAAATTTCCGACTATGCAGACCCCTATATCACTTACCAGAGATTGTTGCACTGATTGAGGCTCGCCGATGTTCTCCAGTTCGGAATACGGCATAAGCCCCTTCTTTGAAGTAGATGCGCTAAAAACCTCCGCTATGCCCTATCGGTCGCCCTATGTAAGGCCTCGGGGCCAGTGGGGCACAACCCCAAGCCCGAAACTCTCAAGCATTAAGCCGCAGCCTAAATCCTGCACCATGCATTCAATGTTTTCTGCTTTGGCCTTCGAGAGAGACGTGAGTCCTGGCCTTTCGGTCACACAGATATGCTGCTCACGAAGGGGCCTGCCAAAAGGCTCCAACTTGAGTGGAGGTTTTGGGTTTAGGATTTACTCTGGGCTCTGGATGGAAGCTTCATGGCTTCAGGTTTGGACTTCAGGATACCGTCGGCGCAACGATGGTGATTGCAAAGTAAGAGTAGCAATTCCTCGATCCTAAACCTTAATTCACTAAACCCCACCTCCCCATACCCGAAGCCCAGTCCATGCTGGAGCTTAGGCACTGACTCGTTGACTTTGCACGCATGACTGGTTTCGGCGTTTGGGACTTCGGGTGTGGGGCTAAGTGTTTTTTAAGGTTTAGGGCTAAGGGTTTCGGATTTACGCTTTCCTGTCTTTAGGACCCGAAACTCAATTAACCCAAAAATGTCAACACTCCTTCCCGAAACCTTGACACCCCTATCTTAATTCCTCCAACCCCGAGCGATGAAACCCAAATCAAGCAGGATAACATATGACTTCGCCTGGAGACCCTTCTAAAACATCTGTTGACTAGATGCAGGTCCCTCACAAAAACTCCAACAACCTTATCTCAGAAGGAAAAACCTTCCAAACCTCACCTCCTTCTTCAACCCCGCAAACCCTAAACTCCAAACCCTAAACCCCAAACCCTAAACCAAAAGCCGCCCGACCGGGGACCGGGCCGAGCTTCTCGCGGATGTACCTGTCCTGCTCGCTCTCGGCAACATGTGGCAAGCGGCCTATGGGGGGGGGGGGGGCGGCTTGCGATCTTTGGGGCTTTGGGCTTAGGACGTTCCGGGCCTTGGGGTTTAGGATGTTCGGGCCTTCGGGTTTGGAACGTTTAGGGCTAAGGGTTTGGGATGTTTAGGGTTTAGGGCTGGAGTGCCAGCTTAATCTAGGGCTTCTAAGGTTCAAGCTTTGGGGTTTGGGATGTTCAGGCTTCAGGTTATGTTTGGGCTTTGGGGTTTAGGGTATGGGGGTGGGTGTACGGTTTTGGCTCTAGGCTTTCGGGAACACAGAGCCTTCGCCTTTATGAGGGGTTCAGAAGGATTTAGACGGGTGTTGTGCAGTCTTTGAAGCATTCATTCAAGAGGTTTACGGTTCAGTGCTGCCCTAAACCCTAAACCCTAAAGCCCTAAACCCTAAAGCCCTAAACCCCTAAATCCCTAAACCCTGAATCCCAAGCCGGTTTAGGATGTTGGGTGTGAGGAAACGACTCGGTGTCGGCCTAGGAGCCTCTGTTAGGATGTGGGATTGATGATGAATACAGGGACTTATATTTAGAACATCAGGTTTCTTGGCAATATTCCAGTCAAGTTATGACTATAATCCAAGGAATACCATGGGTAACTCTTCACTTCTATATTACATGAAGCTTTTGGCCTGAGGGCTTTGGGAGAGCAATCTGAAGACTGCGCAATTGCTGGTATATGGGGCGTTAAGGCAATTATTCAGACATCCACTGTAAATTTGTCGCCCCGCTCGCTGCCTAGGGCACGGCTGTGCTCCAGGAGTTGCACCAAAGAGTTGTCAATCTCTTCACAATACCTGCTTTCAGGTCCCTCAAGCGTCTGCTAGGGGATTATAGGGTCTTGCAAAGGGGACTATCAGATGCCGGGTTGTTGCAAATAGTCTTGCACATACCTCTACCGTGGGGTTCTATCTGGTGAAAACGTAACTCCAGTTCCCTGGCTCACAATCCTGCTTGTTGCGACCGACGAACCTACAAGGGAGAATCCTGGCTGCAGTGCTGAACCTGAGGGTACACCTAGACAGTTCAGATTCTGAACCTTAAACACGGACCATAAGTCTGAACCTAAACCCTGAACCTGAAGTCCAAGCCCTGACCTTAAGTTAAACCTCGGAAACCGTAAACTCCGCACCCTGACGTGAACCAAGTCAGGAGTTTATGGCTTACGGGTTTTACGGCTTAGGGTTACATAGGTTAGAAGGAAAGAGAAGTCTTCCAAACCCCTGACACAGCAGATGTTGCGTCATGGCTTGCGAGGCGAGGCAGGTGCATGCCCGTGGTCAATGCCGGGAAGGCTGCCAGCACACTCAGATGTAGTAGCTGTTCTATAAGCACATGTACTGAGTTGCATGACAGCATGGAATGGAAAGCATGAACGAACTTAGGGTCCACATAACCGAGCCAAGATACTGCCAAAGGGGAAGCACATCGAAAGGCTGCTCCACACGCGATCCAATATCTTCAATGCCTGGCTGCGAGTTTGCGTCGGGAGGGCCTCCCCCGGGAGCAGAGGCATCAACCATGTGAACCCTAACACCTCGAACCTCAAACCAAGAACTCCTGAGCCCACGGCCCTCGGCTCTACAAACCGCGACTGGATCCCGGAATTCAACACCTTCCTGAACTCTAAACCGTGGTCCCGCAAACCCGCCCCATACCCTAAAACTTTAAACGCCTAAACCCTAAAACTCAAGCCCTAAACCCTACACCTTCTTGTCATGGAGCCCTTCAGCCTCGAGGTCGTGTGGGCGTTCCACGGCGCTAAGCTCGAGGTCCCGAAAGAATCCCGGCTCCGAAACCCTAAGCCCTAAACTTTAAACTCCAAAGCCTAAAACCCTAAAACCTAAACCAGAAAGCCTGAGTCCTGAAGCCCTCCCTCCCCCGGCCGCCTAGCATGAAGAAGGAGATGGTCAGCGTGAGAGGCACGGTGAGGTCCTCGGTCCATCCATGCTTTGGAAATTCATGGGACTTGGTAAGTCGAGCTATAAGCACAGTGATTATGATCCGATTTGTAGGGTTTCTTTAAAGGGAGGATCATGGGACTTGGTAAGTCGCGTTATAAGGACAATGATTATGATGGGGTTTGTAGGGTTCATTTACAGGGTTGCGGGTCTAGGGCTTGGAGCTTAGGGTTCAGGGTTTGGACTCACAATGATGACACTTCTCGAAGATAGCACCGGTGGTCATATTCGTCAGAGTCATGCCCCTAACCCTAAACCCTGAACCCTGAACGGCTAAACTAAACTTACAAAACCCTAAGCCCCTCATCCCTAAACGGCCCTAAACCTTTTTTGATTGCAATCCGCGGGATTGGGGTTTGAGGCCTAAGTGAGGCTGTTGTGGTTTGAGTCTTCTGAGGTTTGGGGCTTCTGCGGTTTAGGGCTTACGGGCGTTTACGGTTTGGGGCTTTAGGGTTTAAGCCTTAGGGGCTCCTGCGTTTCGGGCCGAGGGTTGCTAGGATACGGCTTCCAGGACGAACCCTGCCGCGCTACTCCACGGCTCGACAACCTCCCTGCGATCCGTGCCAGGAGAACAGCTAATAGTTTTGGGTGTTTCTGTAGATCAACCGAGATATGTTCAGCAGGTTCTGGAATACAAAGCTTCCCAAGAAGAAATACAAAGATTTGGAAACTCCCCAGAGAGAGCAAGAGCTCCTGCGCAGTGGAAGCTCAGCATGTTTCGAATAGATCGGTCTAGGCAGACCCTAGACCCGAACTCCTGTAGAGCAGTTTGCCCTTCAAGCTTGCAGCTACAGTAATCGGAAAAACAGAGCTAAGCTCCGCAGCCGAGGTGACATACGCCCTTCAAATTCACACCTGTGCAACGGCTGCAGATGTGTCGCACACAGACTCGCCGCTCTCACCGAATTTGGTAATTACCGTCTACATGCTGAAATTCAACAGCATCTGACCCATGTTTCGCGCAGCTGCACCTTCTGATCATCCGGCATGCTAAGCAGCCGGGCATGGAGAAAGCTTCCTGCAGTGACGAAGACGGAAGCGATTTTTGCTAGGAGAGAGGCTTTTAAACAAGTGCCGCACACGTAGATGCCAACGTCGCTTCGAACCATGTGGTTGCGAAAAAGGCTTGATCTCTTCGCGAATCGGCGGTACGATAGCCTGAAAGCTGTTCACGCAGGCGACAATCTCGCAGCATTTCTGGTACACGGCTGCTGCACGTGGGAAGACATACGCTATGAGACAACAGTTTGTCGCATTGGCAAGGGTATGCGGGAGCCACCACTCCATGCCGAACGACTCAGGAGAATCCACAAACCTCACATTTGCCAAGAGCGGAAATATGCTCAGGAACCAGAACATCGACATGTGGAGGTAGACCATGCTGTGCCAGTAGGAAGCCTGGCGAGTGAAGGCTACCACACAAAGCCCAGCGCTCATATGCGAGGTCTAGATCCTCCAACTGGAAAGGATGCAACCGTCCAAAACGTTCAAGCAAGCCGACTAGGAAGCGGTTCACCCGGAGCAGACCAAAAGCCCAGCCCGCGCGGGACAAACCTGGGGTCCAGGGCACCATGAGCAAAGCCGAAGCCTGTCCTTTCGGAGTCAACTTCACTTGCAAGAGGTGGCAGAGACTCCAAACGGTGAGGGAGATAAAACAGGGCAGCGCGTCCCACTTTACTGAGGACCGCGTCTCAGGGTCTATCGTCTCCCTGGAGCTCGCTCCAGCACAAGCTGGCGGAACTTCGTGCTCCTGCTCACCATGCAGAGTAAGACCACATTGGATGCCATCTCCATGACCAGGATCAAGTAGGCCCACTGTTCAAAGCCGGTGATGGAAACGGACTTGTATGCGCAGGCGATCATGTATGTCACTTTACAGACGATGATAACAAGGGAAAACTGCAAGCAATGACAGCCCCATCCCCACATAGAGTGGCACAGTCACGGCTGTCCAACAAGTTGCACTGCAGCTCGATGTGCTGATGCCATATTGACCTTCCATGAATTGAAGAAGCCCCCTGGCTTTGTAGAGGAGGTGATCCACTGCATCACTGCCGCGAGGTTTGACTCCCCCATGTTTAGGCACCACGCTCTCTTCGGCGCTGGCATCGATACTGCATGGCAGAGACGGGGGAGGGACAATCGCCCCAAAGTCCGTGTCTTCGACAGGCCGAGGTGGCATCACGGCTCGCTGATGCTTGGCCATGGCAAGACGGCAAGCCTCAAAGCAGTTCTACAGTCTCACGACTATGCAAAAACTGCTGAGACAAATGGCTACGGTGGTGGTTTTGGGGTTTTTGGTGTTATCCTTGCCCGAACAACCCAATACTTACCCGGGAGGCACCTCGCTGTCACAAGGGGGGTTGTCGTTTGCACCATGAGCAGACAAACCTGACACAGCAACAAAGAAACCTCTACAAAAACAGCGTTGCCAGAAAGTGTTGAGGGTTTAGTGTTAAGGGTTTAGAGTCTAGGGTCTAGGGCCGGGTTTAGGGTTTAGGGTCTAGGGCCGGGTGTAGGGTTTAGGGTCTCGGGCCGGGTTTAGGGTGAAGAAGGAAGCAGTCTGCGAAGCGGGTGGCCGGCCCCACCACAGGGAAGAGTGCCAGCGGCAGAAGGTTGCACCAGATGAAGAGAAATCCTGGCAACAGCCAAACTGCGAATCCCACACTCTAAACATGAGACACCAAAAACCTGAAGCAAGACCCTGAACCAGCTTGCTGAGAGCTCGAAAGCAGGGCTTCCCGAATCCGGGCTACGTTTTGCCATGGGGCTTCAGAGAGTTTATCATAGGGCCTGAGCACTTGGCTTAAGATCTTGGAGCTTGGTATAGTATGGTTATATAGGGACAGTACGGTAAGGAACATCAATATTTGCTATTCAGATCCCTATTCTCGTGGTTGCACACTCTGAGCGTGAGAGACGTTTCGATTCTATCGTAAGTTTAATCTGGTTTAAGAGCGAAGAGTGTCGGGTCTCCACTTCGGGTTTCTGGATTTTCGAAGCATATTAGCTTGCGACTTCGGGGATGTTGACATGCTACATCGATTCGGATTTTTGGGCGAGCTTCTTCAAAACCCGACGACAACCTAGCTCGCCCCAGACCTACATCCCGACATCCCAAGAAGCTCCTGCAACAACCCAAATGCCACAGCGCTAAGCCGGTTGCACAATATGTGAAACCGCTTGAAAACGTACTATATGGGTAGTTCTCTAAAGTAGAGTTCGTTTTGGATTCCTTCCTCTAAGGTGTCGTTCTGTTTTGGGGCCCGAGGAAAGAGACCCCAATTTATGGAACTACCCATATGCAATCCATGGCAGCCCACAGCTGAATGCTACTAATCCCTTGTAGCAGAAACGGCCCTAAGCCCAGAAAGCCGCAACTCGAAACCCCGTACCCTCAACCAAACTTCCCAGCACGAATCCGTAGACCTGCGCCCTTAACTGAGATAAAGGGAAAATGGGAGTTTTCCAAACTCACAAGAGCCTGACATAAACCCTAAACGCGAGGATCCTTCTTATACGGCACCTCACTTTAGAGAAACACCCGAATAGAAAATGCTATCTTGACCCCAAGCCAAAGCATAAGCTAGCAAACTCGCCTAAACCCTGAGCCCTAAACCCAAAGATCAGGACTCTGAAAGCTTGAGATAGTGGGGCTTGATTACATGATGGCCTACAGTAATGACTGAAAATAGTAATGCTAATACCCATATCAAGGAACCCCACGGAAAAACAAAACGAAATTGCAAACCTTGCCGGACCCGCGGCTCGTGAAGCGCGTGTAGGGTGTGTAGATAGGCGTTCGCAAGATCTTCTCGCAAGCGCCCAGCCTCATCGGATTTTACGAGTCTTGGGGTTTGGAGTTAAGGGTTTCGGGTAAGCCTCATCGGATCTTACGATCCAGGGGTGAAGGCTTTAAAAGTTTAGGATCGGGACCCGTGAGATTTGGGGATCAAAGGTTTCAAGGATGTGGATTATTGCCGCTTTTTTCAGGCACCCCTAGCTTCAAGAGCCCAGGACGCTGTCGAGGGGGCTTCTGGCGTGGGGTGTTTATGTGTGTTTTGAAGAGGGCGGGTGCTTGTGGTGGATGAAGCAGTGCTTTGCCAACTTGTGTGTTCCCTAAACCCTAAACTGAAGGAGCTTCAGGTTTGCTTCGACCTCCCCCCCCGGGTAAGGGGAAGGTGTTTGGAAGGCGTAAAACCCTAAACCCTAAGCACTGAAGCTGAGCCCCAAACCCTCAGCCATTGACATACATACAGTCTGCGACTCTCAGGACCCAACTCTGACTTGGCAAAAAGGGAAACCAGCAGTAACCAGCCTTCATGGGTCGTTCAAAAAGCCGGTAACAGCAAGCCACAAAGTGCCAGAAATGCGCTTAGGAAACCCAGAGTTTGCCCTAAACCCGAAACCCATGAAGTGCTCTTACACTCTCAGCCCCCTTTGGTTTCACGAAGATGGCAAAGCCGCACGTCAGGTTTCACCCCAACACGGAGGTTTTGTAGAGTTTAAGGTGTAGGCCTTAAGGTTTTGAGACTTGTGGGTTTCGATTTGGGGTTGAAAGTCTGCAGGGTTCAGGGAGCCACCTCAATTGCGAGCATTCATAGGGTTTCGTTGTACCAGACATCCTAGGACCACCCATGCCACTGTACCGAGACCTGTAAGCCCCCAACACACACAGCATTCCCAAAAGCTATCTGAACTTGGACACGAAACGGCACCCCAAAGCAAACTCCAAAGCCGCTCAGCGCGAACGCCCAAAACCCAGTTCAGTCAGTCAATCCCCGAAGGCCAAGCTGCACTCATGGCGGTTCCGGTTGAGAGGTTTAGGTTACGGGCGGGTGTAGGGGTTTAGGGACTAGGGTTTAGGGCTTTGTAGTTTAGTATAAATAACAGTTTTCTCTCCACACCTTGAGGTTCCTACGTCCAACTGCCCAAGCTGCACATTGCTTAGCTTCCCTGGCAGGGATTCTTACACATCCCAAGGAAGCATCCCCAAAGTCCTTGCGAAATGCTTCCCACACCCTGCCCCACAACTCAGAAACCAAAAAAAACAAATCTTGCATGTCGTAACCCGCGAAACCTCCAAACCCAAAACTGACGCCGAACCATGAAAAACACTCCAGAATTCCTGAGCAACACCGAGTAAAGCCCCCAATGGCACGTTGTGTAGCTTGAAACCTCGCAAAGCTAATCTAGGGTTGATACTAGTTGCTATTACTATGACACATAAGAACACCCAGCAAAGCCCGGCTGGCACGTTGTGTAGCTCTAGGGTTGACACTAAACCCAAGCAACCGCAAGTAAGGCCCAGGTGGCACGTTGTGTACGCCAAACCTTGAAAAGCAACTTTGGAGTTTATATTAGTTGTTTATAAACCCCAAACCCTAAACCCTCAGACCAGCCAGTAAAGTCTGAGTGGCACGTTGTGTAGCTTGGTGATGCTGCGATCCACTTCGTTCGCCGCTGGTGGGTCGAGGCCCCCAAGCTTGGGCACGCAGAAGACCTGGGATTGGAGTCGCAAGGGTTCTTTGGGGTTTCGGGTTTAGACTTTAGGGTTTAGCGTGTGTAACAGTATGCTCGCGGTGGGTGCGCTTCTTTAGAAATTGGGGCGCACCCACTTATCCCGCGCTTGCGTCAGGATATAGTCCCGCCCCAACCACCACAGCTATTCTCAATTAGGGCTTAGGGTTCACCCCCCAAACCCCCCTCAAGGCGGGCTTTCTTGCTCTCTGCTTCCCTTCGAAGGTTTGCATATATACCATGGCCACACTTCCAAGCACAGCACAGCTGAGATGGATTGGTGTTTGGTTGTGAGTCCTCACGGCCTGTGCCGGGCGCTCAAGGGTCTCCAACGAACAACTCGCCCTGTCAGGAGTTGCTCGTCGGAGTTTTCAGTCGCAGGACGGGCAGGCAGGGCAGAGCAGGGAAGGGTTGGGGGCCTCGGTCGGAGCCTCGAGTGCCCATGTAAATGGCCAGCGGCGCTCTCGGCAGTTTAGGGTTTAGGATTCTCGTAGGGCGTTAAAGAGTTTTCCAGGGTTGTACAGGGTTCGTTCTAGGATGTTGTCAGGGTTGGGGGGAAGGGTTGGGGCGGGAATAAACTGTTGGGCCTCCGTTCAGGTTTGAGGGTCTTGGGGGTTGGGGTTTACGGTTTAGGACTTCGGACGGGTTGGCATCTTGCCTGACCTTGCTGTATGGACTCTACCCTGACACTCATCGTGCCCTCCACCTCCGAATCAATGCTTATACTGGGTTTCAACTCCTTTTCCTAGCATTAACGTGGTGTTGCATCGTCTTGGTCTACTTTACCCCACACCCTACACCCAAAGCTCCAAACCCTGAACCATGAACCATGAGCCCTAAATCATAAAGCGCAATTAATCCATAAACCTTAAACTACAAACCCTAGAACAGAAACTCCAAACTTTACACGGAATCTGCAAGTGTCGGAAAGCCTCCGCCTATAGCCCAGCGGCCGAGCTGTTCAAATGCTCAAGCCTCGGGAGGTAAGAGCATTTAGGGTTTAGGGTTTTGGTTTCTGCTCTTGTCGTGGAGGCGAGCTTAAACGGCTTTGGGCGTATATCAGGCCTTCCATCCCTCTCATTTCAGAAGACACCTAGGGTTTACGGGTCGGGGACCAAGCTCCAAAGGATTCGGGGGTTCAGGACTATCCAGGATTGAAAACTCCTTCAGGGTTTGTGGTTGAGGATGAGCTGTTGATGCTCAGGTTCCGGCAATGGGGGCCCCAGGTGTAGAAACCCGCGATTCCAGCACCGTGGCGGAGGTTCCGCGCACCAAGCCCTAAACCCTAAACCCCAAACTGCAACCCTAAACCCTGAACCCTGAATCCCAAAACGTATACCCAAACCCAAACCCTGAAACCTATGGTCCTCAACCCTAAACACTGAACGCCGTACCTTGACACCTGCGCCCTAAAATCTGAAACCCCAATTCCCTAAGGAGTAGAGCCTGCAAACGTTTACCATGACGAGGTGCTCGTGCAGAATCTGCAGCGGCCGGTTCGCCGCAGTGGTGGAGGTGATACGATCCTTTCTCAAAGCTTGAGCGGCAAAAATATCAGCTTGGGAACGAGAGTGCCCCTTGGCCTGCTGGCCAATGCCAAGGAACGAGACCCCCAAAATGAAGGACAAAAGGGCACCAATAGAGCCCAAAACTTTGGTTGAAAGTGCACTAAAGCCGTGACAGCTCCACAAGAAACCCTCAACCCTAAATCCTAACCCTCAGCCCTAAACCCTACACCCTCAACCCTAAACCCTCAACCCTCAACCCTAAACCCTGCACCCTGAAACACGCGAGAGGGTCTCAGAGCTTTGAAAACTCTGAGCCCGAGCCTCTGCACTCAACGTAACGTAGGGGTCTTATTGGTTGGACTAGGGCCAGGGTTTTTGCTGTATGTTATACGATAAAAAGACAGGAATAGAAAAATCGTAGTCCTCTCAAAAACCTATCACAAGCTATGCCTGAGAAAAACTGAGAACCCTGCTTTCAAGCAGATCCTGGCAAATCTTCTTTTCAAAGCCAAAACCCAACGGAACCCGAAACCGGGATCCACACGAGCAAGCCCCGTTCTTCCGCTTTGCGCGCATCCCAGATGCAGCCCAGCTCGGCCTGACTTCACAGGGACGAGGCGGTTTTCGGAGTTGTGCAGGGTTTCATGTTAGGGTTTAAGGGTTTAGGGTTTGAGGCTTAGGATTTTAGGCTTTTTGGTGTTTCGGGTTTGGGGCTGTTCAGGGTTTTCGGCTTTAGGGTTTAGGGTGGTCATTTCATAGGGTTTTATGGGCGCTCTTTCAAGGCTTCATGGGCTGTAGAAGGGGCTTGAAACATGGGTTTTACTACCCCAGGCCCTACTTAGGCTTTAGGGTTCAGGGCTTGAGCGTTTAAGATTCATGGGCTTAGGGGTTTGGGGTTTAGGAACTATGATTCTTGTAGATTCGGGAACGGGATTTTCAGGCTTTCGGATTCGGGGGGTCGAGGGATGGGTTTAGGGGTGGGGAAGGGCTTTAGGTTCAGGGTAGCTTTTGGGTTAGGGGATAACGGACTCTTTGCTCTAGCTACTGCTTTAGTTTAGATGAACCAGTTTAGGGTTTAGGGTACTGTGAGACTTCAGGTACAAGCAGCGATGTATCCGACAACCTGCGCGCGGCTTCAACAGGGGTTCTCTGAATTCGTGCTCTTGGGACTTTTGGGGAGATGAGTTTGGGGTTCAGGCTTTGGGGCTGATCAGGGGGCAAAATCCAGAGCTTAGAGCTTTACGGTCTTTATTGCAGGCCTTTTCGAGAGCCAAAACCCCTCGTTTGGAGACTTCGAAGTACCTGCATGAAGGATGCCCAAAGACGTCTAGACCCCCTTAATTAAGGAACACTGAACACCTCAAGAGTCGGAAGAGTGAGAAATGATGTCATCCACGTAGTTCCATATAAGCATACTGCAACAAACCCCCAAACCCCATTCGTGCCCTTTCCATCTATTCAAGCCGTTATCATAAACCCCTATGAAGCCCTATTGCACCGCATAAAGCCCTCACGAAAGCCAATGGTTTTGAGACCCCTTGTTTATTCTTTGGTGGGTTCTCAGGAACCCCCTACACCGCAAGGCTCTGAGTGAGATTCCATCGTCTGCTGGTCCTCTGAACCCATGGGTTTTTCCGTGTTTTGAAACAACTTCTCCAAGCTTTTACAAAAAGGGCTTCGGAGCAGCAAACCGGGTTTAGTGTTAGGGTTGAGCTAGAGTTCGGGGTTTAGGCAGCCCCAAACCCGAAAGGCTTGAACCCAACATGAGATCTATTTTAATGCACCATATTCCCCGATACCTGGTAGAAACTTTTATAACTAGAACCCTATCAAAGAACCCTTGAAAGAACTCTATTCAAATTACTAAGGCCCCTCTTTTGTGGTTTGGGCTCGAACTGTTTCTGGACTCAAGATGCTCTTCGCCTTGAAAGCTCTGGTCGTAGCTTGCCGCACGTCCTCTTCCGTTGTGCGTGAGCCTCGCCCAGCTGGGCTGTATGGCTCTCTAAATGAGTGGTTGTCAAAATTAGGGTCCCTGTTTGGTACCATGAATATTAGGTGCCGTATTATAATGGGTACCCAAAAAGGGGCCATAATTTTGACAACCACCCAAATGGTCTAGACAGCTTTCTAGGATCTTTAAGACCTTTAGGACCAACATTGGGCTCTTTAGGCCATTTCGGGCTTCGGATGTTTCTTGCCCGAGGCTTCGGTGGCATCAAAGGTCTCTTTTACGGCCGCGAGATCTGAAAACTCGTAACATTTCCCTTCGTTTTGCCCCCTTACCTCTAGAATAGAAGTCGCTTGGGTTGGCAAGTGGAGGCTCTGGGTCCAGCTGCCGCGCAGTTCGGAGTTTGAGGTTCAGGGTTTAGAGTTTAGGGCTTAAAGGGTTTAGGGTTTAGGGTTCCGGTTAAAGGGTTTCAGGGTTTAGGGTTTGGGTTAAAGGGTTTCAGGGTTTAGAGTTTAGGGTTTAAAGGGTTTAGGGTTTAGGGTTTGGAGTTTAGGGTTTAGCGTTCCGGTTAACGGATTTAGGGTTTAGAGTTTACGGTTTAGGGTTCCGGTTAAAGGGTTTAGGGTTTAGAGCTTAGGGTTTACCTTTAGGGCCAATGCCTTGTAGCCTCTAGACCCTGGGCCTCGAAAGCTTTTGCTTTTGCATGAAGTCCTCAACCTGCCTACCATGCTCGTTACTGTTACACCTCAACCCGGAAATCTCGAGGTGTTGAAACAATAAGAACATGTATCCTGGAGGATAAACCCAAAGTCTTTGGGTCCCGGAACTCCAAATCCTGGACCCTAAAACCCTAAACTCCCTAAACCCTACACCCTAATCCCTCCCTGAGCGCCACGCCGAGCTGAATGTGAGGATTGCAGCCATCCTCTAAGAGAGTCGTAAGGTGTGGTAAAAGTTCGGAAGGCGAAGGAGTGCGGACTTAAAGGGTTTAGGGTTTAGGGGCCATCTGCTTCGAAGTTAAAAGTAATTTTCTCGCGAGATTTGGCAAGCGGTTTTCTGCTGAGAGTACAAAGTTTAGGGTTCAGGCTGCTCGAACTAAGGTTGTGGAATATAGCGGTTTGAATGCTTGAAGATTAAGAGCACATTGTTGGGAATTCGGGCTTGAGGTTTAATGGCCAAGGGCGGGGATGTTTGGGGAGGTTTACGGCCTGGGAGAGGGATTTCAGCCTTCTTCATCCAAAATGCTGCTGAGGGTCTCTCTTTACGATGTGCAGAAACCCCACACGTCGAGCTAAAGCCTAAAGCGAAGCTCCAAACCCTCACAACTCTAACAAACCTCGAACCCCGAAACTCAACGTTCGAAACCTGAAGCCCTGCTTGCGGCTCCTCCGTCAGGTGATACTTCAACGCGATGGCAAAACAGCGGATGAGCTTCAGGGCATGCTGTTGCCTGTAATGAGCTTGGGGTTTGGGGTGCAGGACGAGCTTCAGGGCAGACTGATACCTGTAGCTTGGGAGTTTAGGGTATCTAGAGGCCCCGTTGTTTCTTGAGGATTTTCTGGTGTACGCCGCGTTAGAGCACAAGGTTCGCTGATGTAGGCTGTATGGCCGGAGACCCTAAACTCCAAAACCGTAGAGTTTACCACCAACAGCACCTGAAGCCTTCAACCTTGCATCTACACTTGCAGAGGGGAACCGCTGAAGCTCGCTAAGTTTTCCTGAAACCATTGAAGGATGGGACGTAGCAATGAAACCCTTAAGCCTTAAACCTCGAAAGTCGTAGCTGCAAGACATACTTTAGGGTTTGTGAGAACCAAGCGTCCGTTTTGAGGTGGTCCTTATGACAACGACTGTAAAAAGATGAGGCTAGGATCCCTGATTCACAAAGCCATGAAATGGACGAACCCGCTGAACAGCAGCTTGCGTGGTACTCGTTATAGTATTGGACCCCTGGTTCGAAAATAACAAGCAATATCATGTTTCACAACTTCTTGCGTTTCCACACTTGGACAATAAGAAATGATTCCTAAGGAACACCCATATCTGGGTCCAAGGAACCGTTGTGGAATCCCTACAGGAGACCTTATAGGAAACCGCGCGTATAACTTCCATTTTAACGCTCGTATAGGACCCCTTGTCCACCTCTCCTAGCATTCCCTGAGGCTGCGTGGAGTGGAACCCCTTGCATCAGCTTGGCCCCAGGCGCGTCGTAGACCTTGGCTGCTCGAAAGATGTTCTTCCATGGGCTATGGCTTCGTTCTGTTTTAGTTTTGGGGTCGCTTGGCTTTAGGGTGTAGGGCTCCACGTTAGGTTTAGGTTTAGGGTCAGGGTTTACGGTCAAAGGTTGACGGTGTTTGATTTTAGGGCTTAGGGACCATGGACTACCAGATCTGTTTGAAAGCTACATTGAATCAACTGACAAATGATTTGAAACAACAGACAACGCTTTTGCATAGCCCCAAAATGGCAGTTTTCGTGCAAACGGTGGTGCTCAGAACCTCAAACCTTGTGTTTCAATGCCTGGCTGTAGTAACTGTAGTAGCAGGCATTGGTGCACGGTGCCGACATCATAGCAATTCTAACTCCAACAGGCCCAAACTCTAAAGTCTAACCCTTAACAATTTCCAATAGCTCCAAACCCAGAACCTTACCTTAACCCCAAGTACCCTACCTTTTTAAGGACTTATAAAAAGAAATCATATTAGCGATTCCTAAGAGGGTAGGTTCCTTATTGTCCAGGTAAACCCTAAATCCGAAACCCTAAACCCTCAAAACCCCAAAGCTCCAAACCCTAAGACGCACAAGCTTGATCAAAAGCTTCTCTGGAAAGAACTTACACAAACGTCCGGTAAACCGTGGACCCAAGGATGCCATCTGATCACTCAAGCCCATATCTTTGTGATATGATATAATACGGTATATGATCTATTATAGGGTTTATGGCTTAGGGTTTAAGGTTTAGGGCTTAGGGTTTTGAGTTTGAGGCTTGAGGGCTGTAGCATTGGGGGTTTAGGGTGACGCTGAGTGTCGAAGGGTTGAGGGGATCAGGGAGTGAAGTTTAGTGTCCTGGGGGTGTAGTGTCGAAGAGTTCGGGTGTTTGGGGGTCAACGAGATTAGTGGTACACATAACGGGCGTAGGGGTTTAGTCATCCGTTTGCATGAATAAACAAAGGCCTTCATTAATCAATATACGGTTCGTGTGAGTTTCTGAAGGCTTACTGACAGCGCTTAACCTTCAGATGTCCGAAAATCTCCAAGAAGTCCCTCGGCTAGCTGCTGGCGTGCACTCGATGCCGGCAGTACCCGGCACCTTTGCGGAAAGTAGAGGTTTGACAGGACGTTCAGGTTCAGGGTTTAGGCTTTCGTCTCGCATCTGCCCTCGGGACTTTGAAACCTTTTGTGCCCTCGGCTCCAACGCCTTCACTCTACAAACCCCTACGTCTGCACCCTACAACCAAAACTCAACAAGGAAATGAACTTTTGGCTTCAATCTGTGCGGGTAATGGAGGAGGGTGTATTGTGTAAGGTGAGCAGGTTTGGGGGTCAGGCTTTAAAGCTTCTAAGTAGTAAGGCCTACGGCTATGGAAACAACTTGTCGCTGAACCCTACCAAGTGTCTGCTCGCGAGAGAGCAGCACAGCAGCCTCGGATGTGCCACCGGTCTGGAAGGGTGCCCCTGAACATAAATCCCCAAACCCTCTTAGACCCTAAACCCTAAACCCCTGAGCCCTAAAACTCTAAACCCCAAATGCTGAGCCTCTAAAACTCCAAACCACAAGCCCGGGACACGAAACATCAAGTCCCCAAACCTACGCACTAAACGCGAAACCTTAAATCCTCAAAACTCAAGGCTATATCTCTCTGCAAACAGATCAGAGGCTCAACAGCAAGCACTGACTACAGACAAGACATCTCTCTCTCTCTCTCTCTCTCTCAGTCGCGCAGAGCGTGTCCACAGGTGAGACCGCTCGTCAGCAGCCCTTTCAATGGGACTAACGTGCGGGGAAAACATAAATAACATAGAGTCGGCGGAAGCATACAGCTTGGGGAACAAATTCAGGAAACACTACATACACGATGGACATGACAGGGCTCTTCCCTACCCTTTGCGGGTGAGACGATGGCAGGACTAGGGTACATTTTCCGGCCACCGTGGGGAAAAGCTTAGTCAGAAAGGACGCTTCTAGAGTCGCTGGTAAAGCTCACCCGACGCACTAGGGAAATTCGTGACCACTCGCCGATAAAAGATGGATCACCTGCTAAGTCAGTTGACATTGGCGTAAAGCATGGGAAGGCCGTGGTCCCCCGGTTCGCCTCTTTGTGGAATACTTCAGACGGGGCAATTGCTAAGTTGGAGTCAATGTCATCCAGGGGGAAATTGCTGTGCAAGCTTTGACAGATCATATGTATGGTCATCCAGAAGTGTGTCCCGTCGTAAGGTGTAGACATGCACCTGCAGACCTGACAGTCTGATGGGATGTTCCAGAGGTTTCCGGTTGCGTCATTGGGAGCCACCGGTCTCCCATGCTTGGCAAAACACGTAGGCAAAGAGCGGCAGGGTCAAGTGGAACAAACGTAGGGAGGCGCACCACTCCCACATCGGTCTGGACATAGAGTGGGGGATGATATCCAGACCCACATAAAACCTCCAGAATAGTTTGTTGGAAAGCATGATAGCAGTCGAGGTTGATGGTCAGGTAGGAGGAGAAGCCTAAAGAGAGCCCATCCTCCACTGATAATCTGATCATCGTAGCGGTGGAATTGAGTACCGACCTGCAGTGGACGGTCAGGCGCATGTGCTTGTATTGGCAATCGGCAAGAAGTCGTAATGTCAATCACTGCGGGACATAGTGGCAGTCCTGCGGTTCGAGCGAAGCTGATACCAGGGCAGAGATAGGGAAAGGGACGATCCACGCTGTCTTGTGCCAGAACCTACACAAGACATCTGCACTTCTCTATCATTAGGTTTGCCGGTTTCGGGTTCCTCCCCAGTCCCAGCCTCTGCAACCCCCAATATTTTTTTGCAAAACCGACTCAAAGCCCTTATTAAAAAACACTAAACCCTAGAGTAGAACCTCAGAAAACGTCTGTAAAACCTCGACAGGCAAAGTCCCACACCCTAAACCCTAAACCGTGGACCCTAAACCCTGAATCTGCCCTGCACGCCCAGGCGCTCGAAGAAGAATTCGGCTCGAGAGGGACCGGGACTCCTAGAGCAGAAGTAATAATAATTAGACTAGGACTCTTTTCAGGGTTCGATCAGGGTTTGCGGGCTTTATCGGGTTTCATACAGGGGCCTTCGTGCTTAGCCCAGGTACTGAGACCTACTGTATAAATTTACAGGGGTTGCAAAGAGATATAAGTACTGCATGCAACTATTCAAACCACTATGTCGGGGGTTCTCTCAAGGTTCTGTGACTTCTTGTCTACGTTAGGTTTGGAGTTTAGAACTTCCTGGATGTAGAGTTTAATACGTACTGTACAGTCTGCTATTCTGCTACGCAGATGCTTCCGTTCGCATTTTACCGGCCCCCTCCAGTGCCTGTAGGGTTTAGGGTTGAGGGTGATGTCTGTATGTTCTAGGCTTCGTCTCGGTGGCTCTGAATCCAAGATGATGGATCCTATGCCTGCAAATCCCGCAGGCCCGCAGCACTGTGGAAGCCTCATTACACCGGTCATCCGTAAGATTCAAGCCAAAAAACACTGACACCCTAGGACAAAGCATTATATCGTAAGATAAAAGTATCAAACCTTTTGCAACCCTGCATACCCCTCACACTCAAGTGCGCATCGCGGCCAGGCGGCCCGGACTAAAGCGTTCCAGAGCTCCCGGCCCTCGATGAAACGATGATACCTTCGGGGTTAGGGCTCTAGCTGCGATTCGGGTTCAAAGTGCTGTGGCAGAAAATGGAGGAGCCAGCCGTTCGCGGTTTATTGTTTAGGCTTTATGTAAGGTTTCGGGGGCTCAGCACCGCGGTTTGGGGAGGGGTTCAGGGGTGCCGGGGCAGATGCTGAAATCTGCTAGAGTCTTGACCGCAACACCGCACCTTCTCAGGAAATGTGGAATGCGGCACGGCTAAAAGCCCCGCAGCCCTCAAACCTTAAACTCCACAAACCCTACACCCTAAACCTTAAACGCGAAAAACTAACCAAAGCACTGTAGCCAGAACGGCTCAAGGCCCTGCTGAAACTCACACCCGGATACACTGAGTCACCGTGGGGAGGAGTAGATTATTAAGGGGCCTAAATAGTTAGAATGGGTTCTGGGGCCCAACCAGCCCCTATACGTCGGGGGTCTTGTTACTTGTAAGGAACTCAATCAGTTAGACTGAGTGACCTTCCGCTACCCTTGCGAACCCTTGCTAAACCTCCCATGAAGCCTGTAAGCAAATCTACCCCGACCTATGGAAGCATGGTTAGAACGGTTAACGAATCGAATACTATTGGTACAAAGTCCGGGCGTATCTCTGAATCATGCCGGTAGTTCTCTACATTTCGGCTCTCTTTTTTATAAGGATGCCATACTATCTTCCGAAAAGGAACCCAAATTCAGCGAACTACCCCCATAAAGGATCCCTTACAGGATCCCTTAAACCCTAAAGGATCCCATAAACCGGTCATGTCTCCGAACCATGTAGTCATAGCGGCCCACTCTGGGTTTTGAAGGTGATCAAAAGGCCCAAAGCGAACGAGGGCAACGTGACGCTCACCTGGCAAGGCGTGCCCGGTGCTTAGTAGGGAATGGGGGAATGGATCCCTATAGTAGTCCAGATATAAGCCCCCAATAGTAATCCTATAACCCATGCCCCCATTCCCTACTAAGCACCAGACAGTTGAAGGTGGAGGTTAGGGTTAGGGTTTGAGCCCTAAGCATCTCTTGCAGGCCTGAGGATGACTCAAACTTACGATTGAGGGTGTAGAATGTTGCGTATGCTTCGGCATGTAGATTGCCAGGTTGAGGAGTTTAGGAATGCCTTCCGAAGCCTGCGAAACATCGCCCTAGATCATCTGCCTTCGGATGGTACCGGAAGGGTGCAGCAGAGTCTCTGCGCATCGGTCGGATTTACGGTCTGAGCAATGGGGCCTTTCGGGTTGACAGTTTTGTCGGGACCTAAACCTTAAACCCCTAAAAACCCCTAAACCCTAAATCCGAAACCGGACAGAAACACAAAAGTCAAACGACAAGTTAAGGAAGCAGAAAAGTTGTCGCAAACTCATTCTCCTAACCTGATGCCAAAAGCCAGGCTGGATGCTAATGCACTAAGAAAGAATCGAAGGCACTGAAACCCCAAACCCCGGACTCTGAACCTAACACATCCCAACCCTGACCTGAAGCCCAAACCCCAAATGTTCCGTCTCCTAGAATGGTGTCGCACCCGCAACATGAGTCGGGTGGCCAGGGGCAACGAGAGAGCCCCAGTCGTCAGGTTGGCCATATGTACCTGGTTTAGAGTATCTTGTTTATGGCAGAGATAGGGTTAAGGCCCTGAACCACTGAACCCTAAACCCGTAAGCCTAAACCCAGTCGGGAACAAATTTGGGCATAGCCTCTTGGAGTTGATTATGTTTGGGAGTATGAATTCGGGATGTAGTTCAGGATTAAGGGTTTTGGGTCCGAATGCGCGGGCCACGAAACATTCGAGTGCTCAGGCAATTTAGAGGCTCAGGGTTAAGGGCTGAGGATCTCGCGGTTAGGTGAAAATCGTCGCAGACTATAGCGAGGCTTCATCCTGCTTTCTATCCCTGACTGGGCTCCAACATTCACAGGATTCGAAGTGAACTTCAAGATTGATTCCGTTGCAGGCTGGGGTTCGGGAATTGCGATTTGCTAGCGGTCAAGGCCCTTACAAACCCTAAACCCTAAACCCTAAACCCTAAACCGTACCTTACTAACCCCAAACCCTGAACCCACCACGCCCTTTTTCCTAGAACCACGAGCCCCAAGCTGAAGAGAAACCTTCCAACCTCCGGACGTGAGCCCAAGGTTTTTTTCCTTCAAAGGGTTTAGGGTTTAGGGTTAGTACCTGCATTTTGGTCAAGGGTTAGGGGTTAAGTTTAGGGCTCAAGGTTTAGGGCTTGTAAGGTTTAAGGATTAGGGGTTGAGGGTTCAGAGCAAACCCAAGCCTGAACCCAAAAGCGAACCTCAGAAAACTCCGCAAACAAAAACCCAAAACTTGCCATCCCAGAGTCTGAACTCTGAAACCCGACACATAAACTCCCCGTAAGACCCCATAGCACAATGTAGAACCCTGTAAGACCTCTCTGGAATAGCCTCTAAAGAAGCCCATAACACCGTAAAACACCCTCTCAAGCCCTCTAGCGCCCTCAAAAATCTTACACGCACCTATAAACCCTACACTACACCCTTAACCCCAAACCCTAGACGTTCTGCCTAATCGCCAACAGATCGTCACCACCACGTTGCATTTCCTCCCGGCTATAAAGATAGGGTGAAATTCACGAGAACTAAGCACAGAATTGGTACGGACGAACAGTTGAAAGAGCTCTTCCAAGTTACCATGACTACCTGGACCACACCGCCCCTTCTCAGTTCAGGGACTTCAGAAGTAAGCAATTTCTTCAAGCCCACCCGGAGATTGAATCGCATTTGGTAGCTGCGCCGACACGCCAGCCGGAGTTAAACCCCTCGCTTCGATATACAGTCGGGAGTGTATGCCAGCCTTTAAAACACCACAAATTTGCAAACCCTACACCTCACAAACTTTATAAGCCTTATAAACCCTAAACCCATAAACCCTAAACCTCACCAACTTTACAGGCCTTATACACCTTAGACCGGTAAACCCTAAACGGATCCTCAGCCGGGCCGCATTGTATACACAGAGGAGGCCAGACACCGACCCGAGCCACAGCAAATCCGGAAAAATCAGGCGGCGGAGTAGGTCCCACCTAGGCTCGTCTCGGGGTTTAGTTAAGGTCAGAGGCTACCGGTTTCGGGGCTTTGAATTTGAGGCGTAGGTTTCGAGGGGCTTAACCTTGAGCGGTCTTGGGGTTCTGGGGAGTGGTATGAAAAGCCCCAAACAACATCAGGATCCGAGACCTTCTGGTACTTCTGGTGCTTCGGGCTGAGACTTTAGAAGAGGAATAGCAGGATCCCTTAGAAGGGGCCCTCACCCTGTAATAGTGACTATAAGGATTATATTAGGGCCCTATTATATTCCTATTGTACCACTATTACAGGGTGGGGGCCCCTTCTAAAGGATCCCTAAGAACGTACTCATAGCACCAAGACAAATGCACAGGAGAAGAAATCCTTACCCTAAATCCCCAGCCCAGTATACAGTAAGGCCTTATAGAGCCTCAACATAAATCCTGCAGAGCCTCACCAGAACCCCAATAGAAGGCACTGTGTAACCCTACAAAAACCTCACTATGCCCCGCAATATAATCCTCTTGACCCTGAACTTTACGGTATGGTAAGTCCAAAACCTTTAACAAACATAATCCCTCCTAGTTCCAAAGCCAACACGAATCCAACCAGTTAAACCCTTGACCTGAAGTCCCGAACCCTAAACACCCTAAACACCTGAAATAAACATGACTCTACTGTACCCAGAAAGAACTTCGGAAGGAAAAAAAAAAAAAAAAACTTAAAGGAGCCCTTGAAGGGCGCCTGAAGACGTTCCGGACGCTCCAAAGTTGCAGGTGTCGGGAGGCCACCTTTCCGGTGCGTCTTGGGTCCGGTTACTCCAAGGATGCAGGGTTTAGGGTTTCGGGTTTCGGGTTAGAGGGTTTAGGGGTTAAGGTTTGAGGATTTGAGGTTTTGAGTTTAGGGTTTAGGGTCCGCAAGCCATACTTTAAAGGGCACCTTGGCCGGGTTTTCAGTAGTTGAGGGTTTCGGGTTTAGGGTTTCATGAGGGTTGAGGGTTCAGGGGGTGTAAGGGTTTAGGAGCTTATTGGTTAGAAGATCGGGTATTGTACAGGTGCCATAAGGGTACTTTTAGCGAGTACTGTAAGGATACAGGCATCTTATAAGGGTATTTTCAGGGTGCGACAAAACTACGTTCAGTGAACAGGGATACCTTACGGGTTTTCGCAAGGGCTTCTGGGTGTGGAGAAGTTTGAGGTCAAGAGTCCTAGTGGTTTCAGGGTTTAGGCTTCAAGGCGTTGCGTATATACCTGAACCCTAAGTAGCCCTAAACCCTAGATGCTAAGCCCCGAACCCTGAAACCCTAAACCCGAAACCCCTGAACCCTAACTCCCATAAACACCCGTAGACCCCTAAACCCTAACGCCTAAAGCCTGGAAGAGTTTCGGGCTGCCGCAACGCCATGAGCCCGGCACATCCTATATGGATACCGCAACCTCCAACAGGGAACATCGCAGTTTCCCTCTGGTTTTTTTGCGTTTGTGCTGCAAAAAAAACCTCGGAAAGCATCAGCATCATAACTTATCTGGCAGACGGCCCTGCAGACCACCAACGCGTCCCCGGGTGCCTGGTGTCGCCGCCACCGACGAAAATCCTATGAGCGGAGCGGAGCACGGGGGCAAAATGAGGTAAGGCGAAATCCTAAACCCGGAAAAACTCTCTTCTTCAACAACCGGACCCCAAAAAGTTCAAACTTTCTAAAATCGAACTAATATGTATGACCAAAAAGTTTAAAGTTCTCCCACTCACTATCTAAGAAAACAGATCGCAAGGCAGAGAGGCCAGGCAAGCGGACACAAGACCAGGCAACCCGTGATCTGGCGAAAACAAGGCATGCCCAGACAACAACAACGCAGCGGAGCAAAAGGGAAGATGCCAAAAAGTGGGTTTAGGGTTTAGGGTTTAGGGCCAAAAAGTGGAACAAAGCAACAGAAGACTAGGTTGATAAGAAGCAGTGATATGAATCCTGAAGGCTGAGGTGATATGCACTGGTATGATGTGAAAGGACAAGGTCGAATAGAACCAGTGGAACCCACCCAAGATCCGAAAAAAGCTTGGCCAGATAGTCACGATGAGAGCAGGAAAAAATCGAAAATAATGAACAAACTAAGGCTACAGACCACAAGACGAGAATTTAGGTGCGATATGAAGGGACTCGGACCTGCCCTGATGCTTCGTCGGGTTCGTGGTTCTATCGGGATCCTGTGTGGGTTGCGGCATCGTCCGGGTGCAAAAATGCTTATGAGATGTGGAGATCGGAGAGCCGAACAACCCGAATCCTAACCGAGCCCAGACCCGAAACACTAACCCTATCCCCAGGCCCTGCACGAAATCCAAAAACTCTGAACCCACAGCTAGGAGCCCGAACGGTTGAATAGAATGTTGGCAAGGTTAAGGGTTGAGGGTGCTTGACCAACAGGGAGGCCAACACAAGAACTAGAGTGTGAGAGCATAACCATACGTGGAAGGATCTCGTAGAATATCCACGTATCTCGTATTCATACCGCAGAAACACAGACCTGGCCCAAGATCCGGCCAAAGTAATCTGACCTGTCGTTTGCACACATGTGTATGTTGAACCACTTGCACTAAGTAGCGCTGCGCTGAGCAGCAACAAACCCGCAACCCAAAGCCCTCAACCCTAAGACTACACAAGCTTTGTCTTCAGGGCTTCGGATGTTTTGGGTTCAGGATTATAGGGCTTAGGGTTTAGATTTTTAGAGCTTAGGGCTTAGGATTGCAGGGTTTAGTGTTTAAAACAAGGTGTACGGGCCATCGCATAAACGAGAGTCGTAGTCCACGTCGATTGGGGTACCGCGCAACCAGCGTGCAACGGCATTCCGGCCTCATCAGTCGCACCGAGGAAAACTTGCAATTTAGGGTTTGGGTATCAGGGCTTACGGGTGTTTCCGGCTTGGGGCTTAGTAGTAGTAGTAGTAGTAGTAGTAGTAGTAGTAGTAGTAGTAGTAGTAGTAGTAGTAGTAGTTGTTGTAGTTGTAGTTGTTGTTGTTGTTGTCGGTAGGAGTTGCATCTGCCGACGCGCGGGGTGGTGCAATTCCTCTGCTGGCATGTGCTGAAACTCGAGTTTTGGCACTCTCTTCACCGGACGTTGAACTTTGCTTTTGCTTTCGCATCGGTTTTTGCGGTGTTTTCTAGCAAAACCGTGATCCCGCCGGCGGGCTGCACTGTGCAGAAGCATGTTTAGCTCTGCATTTCGCCTCGGTTGTTTCGGTGCTTTCCTGTGTGTCGCATTTCGCATCGGTTTTGCAGTGTTTTTGCCGACTCTCGACTATCTGCACATGCCGGCTTCGACTTGCATTTGTCTTTCAGCTCTGTGCGGGGCTTGGGGGGGATGGGGGGGAGGGGTGATGACATCCATGCGAACGCGGCTTGTGTCTTCTGCTTCTCTTGTTGTTTCCTATGTCTCGCATTTCGCATTGGTTTTTACGGTGCTTTGCCGATTCTCGACTTTGTGTACATGCCAGCTTAAACTTGCAATTTGTCTTCGGGGGTGGGGGGGATAGGGGGGGGGGTGATGACGTCCATGCGAATGCGGCTTATGTCTTCTGTTTCTTTGGTTGCGTTACTTCTCAAACGCTGCCAGTTGCTCTGTCAAGCCGTGCTTGCCGTTTCGTTGCTTCACTTTGGAAACGTCCACCATGCAAAAACCTCGAGTTTTTTAACCTTTCCAGACCAAAAACTTCCCAAATCAGCCTGAAAATCAACATAAGTCAAAGACGAAAAGCATGCTGTTTGAGACTTCCGCAAAAACCTCACCAAAAACACAAGACAAATAACTATAGAAATTTTAAAACTCCGATACATCGTCTTGTTGAGGAAAACCACGCAAAACTCGGTGGTTTTTGCTTCTTGTCCAACAAAAATAAACGACACACCCCGCGCAGCGACAGACGCAACGCCTTCCTTGTTGTTGTTGTTGTTGTTGTTGTCGTAGTCGTCGTCGTAGTGGTAGTCGCAGTGGCAGCGGCAGTGGAAGTGGTCGTGGTCGTGGTCGTCCATCATCACTGACAACACCACCGCATCTTTCTCACCCATCATCTCTATCCACCAGCAGAAGGAGCATGTCTGCTTGCCGCACAAAAAAGCCTTGGTCTCCATGCTGAGGCCGAGGCTCTGTTCTCGACAATAATCAATTGTCAGCGCTCGACGTGATGCCTGTGTTTCTGGCAGCTCTGCAGCAAACAACCACCCGAAACTCGCACTCGAGTTTGAGCCTGTACCGTAGTTCCTGGCCGACTGGGGTTTTAGGCCTCGGGGTTGCAGCTGTCACCTCCTGACAGCAAAAACTCTGATGGATGCAACATCTCCACCACTGTGCACCCTCGCGAAAGCATAGAAACAACTGCCTGCCAACCATACTACATGTGGAAAGCCAAAGACTCCTGAAACCCGGAGCAAACCTGAACGTGCGACGATGTCGAATGATTCCATATCAGTATGTGATATTGCTGTACATACTGTTGCTGGAGCTATCGGCGCGCCGGATTGCATTGTTTGGGATTCCTCATAGTTCTCACCATCGCCATGTTTCCGGTTGAGGACATTGTCATCTTGTTGCAAGGTTCGCTCCTGTCAGAACGGCTATCAGTAGACACTGTGATCTTGCTGCTATTACCAGAAGTGGCAGTCATTGCAGTTGTAGTTGTAGTAGTAGCAGTAGAACCATTAGAAGTCGTCGTCCTGTCGTCGCAACGTCGTCGTCGTCCTCCTCCTCCTCGTTGTGGTCGTCGTTGTTTCTGTCGTCGCCCACGTCCTGTCTCCGTTGTCGTCGCCCTCCTCGCCCTCTTCGTCCTCTTCGCGGTCGTCATCGTCGTAGTCGCAGTAGTAGTAATCGTCGGAGTCGGAGTCGTAGTCCGGGTCGTGGTCGTAGTCGTAGTAGTAGTCGTAGTGTTAGTCGTCGTTGTCGTCACAGTCGTCGTCGAGGTGGCAATTATCATACTACAGTAACACTACAGTAGTAATTGTAATCCTTAAAAGAGAAGCATACTACCACTACTACTACTACTACTACTACTACTACCACCACTACTACTACTACTACTACTACTACTACTGGAATCAGCCCCCCCGGGAGGCCTCTGCAAGGCGCCTCTGGGACTCGAGGTCCTGGGAATCTCTTGATCCCCGGATTTGGGGGCTTTGAGGGCTTAGGTCTTTGAGGCTTCGAAGGCTTTAGGGCTTTAGGGCTTTAGGGCTTTAGGGCTTTAAGGGTTTAGGGCTTTAAGGGTTCAGGGCTTCTTCAAGTTTAACAGTTTAGCAGTCTACGGCTTTGGAGGCTTAGGGCTGCAGATTTCGGGTCTGGGACATCAAACTTAGATTCCAGGGATGAAAGTTGGAGGTTTCGGACTCATAATTCAAGGTATACGGCAGTGGAGCAGGATAATGTGGATAGGCGGTTCTCGTCAGAACCTCATGCACAGGCGGCGAACGCAACTAACAAGAATGCGAAACATCAGGAGAATGCGCATGACAAGGAGGCTGAACCCCGAGCATTTCAAGGACAATGCGATGGTTGAAAGCTCCCGATAAGATGTACTTCATGTGAGCTCTCATTCAGCACCCCGTCATCATCTGCTTCCAACCGGCTGCGCAGAGGCAAGCTTCCTCCAGAATGGAACCCGAACACGAAAGCCGTCATCTCGAGATCACAGAACAAGAGGTGGTGAAAACAACAATGAAGTTCAAGCCTGCTTCATTCTTGGACCAGCAGCTCAACCGTCCCTGCCTCTGTGTCGGTGCTGGAGCGGCCAATTCTCACGCGGAGCCACGACTGCAGAGAACCTGTAGACGTCTGGTGTTTCCCGGGACGTGACGAAAACGGAGCAACAGCAAATTAGCGACCCTAGACTGAGTGTGGCCACATATTTTCATACTCACACCTGCATTGAGAACATGCTCTCACGCTTCCCTTGTATGTGCTATGTTGGAATCTGCCTAAACCAAACTCTGGCGGCCGAAGCTCCTCCTCTAAACATGCATGCCACCTACATCCACACTGGTGGAGGCTCTTTGGGCCTATAAAGGGATTCGACGAAGAGGGCACTTAGGTGTGCATGCACATGCGTGGTCGGACTGCCGGCCGGGCATGGGGTGCCATACGAAGTTACACACCTCTTGCAATGCCGCTACAAGCTTTTGAAATTGGAAGCTTTTGAAATTGGAAAGCTTATGATTGAAACCACGGTTCCAAGGTCTGGAGTTTGTCGTTTACGATTTGATTCTGGAAGCATTGCCAATAATTCAAGACGTAACGGTGTCTGGTTCCAGGCCGGTCACATGGAGACCTTGACAGACACACTCCTTTCAGAACCGCGGAGAGAAGCTTGGTCGCTAAACGTCGCTACATGCTAACTGCCTGATGCAAGATCAGCCAAGCCGACACGGATATTATTACGTCATGGTTCAATGTTGCTGTCGTTGTAATCTAAACGTGTCCTCTGCAAAAAACTTTCGAACCATTCTAACAACAGGTCTTACCCCCATGACCTATGCCAAATGCAAACACCCCCCTGGATACGACAGCTTGGTTGCATTGCCTTGGCCCGAGCTCAGGCAACGAAGTACAGGCGGCTTGCAACTCATCCAAACATGGCGATGCCTCATACCAACTTAAGCGAAACTGAAGACACGTACGCAAGAGAATCAGCCCGAATAGAAGTTCTCCGGCGAAGACATGGCGCACTATATGAATTTTAACAATCCCTCAAATGCGAAGTCAAGAATGTCGAAGCAGCTCTGTCAGGAAACCTAGCGTTGGTCCATCGGCCCGGCCAGAATGGAAGGAGCGTCACATGTTCGTGCAACGTTTGGGATAGCACGGCCTACCTCCAGCAGAAATGCCTGGCAACCCTGTCCTCAGGTCAAATTATGCGACAAGCACCGACAAGCTGACCACAATCCGAGCATGCATCTGCTGACTTCAGTCTCGGTCCACTTCAATGCTCGAAGAGGTGTTTGCCACTACTAAGTTACTAAGCCACGAGAACAGAGCGTAGGAAGAGTCACCAGAATCATGAGAGCACAGTTTTCGTGCGCATACCAGCCTGTCGGTCAGTCCACACAAGCCAGCACGGGAAGATGCGCATTCGTACGAAGGCATGGACATGTCTAACGCATCCAAACGAATCTAGATGGACCTGCACCGAGTGAGAGTGATCCGTTGCAGTCTCGTTGCGTGCCCGCCTGCTCATCTAAGTCTTACTTAGCTTCTTTGATGAGGAGTCCGTAGAACCGAACATCTGCCGGATCTGGCACGACCCATATGTTGTCATTTGCCTTTCTGAAGCTGCCGGGCCGTACAGCAACTTGCCATGCAACTTGCACTTTCGCGACGCCTGAAAGGAGCCGGACCTCCACAGGCTTGGCGTACGTCGCAGCGTAGCCAATGTACCTCGAAACGTAAACACCATCGCCAAAATTTGCATCGCCCTTGGCGGCCTTGCTTGGAAAGAACCCGTTCTGATAGATCGAAACTGCGCTTTCGCCCGGCTCCGTCATTCCGTGGAAGCATCGGGCCCAATTCTCAGGATGGCCAAAGGGATGCAGCCACGTATCACTCTCGTACTTGTCCAGCACGGCGACACCCACACGCCTCCAGCCATCCTCAGGCTTTGGCTGATAGTAGGTCTCACCACCTACGCATTCCAGGTCTCACCACCTACGCATTCCCACTTTACGCCTTCGAACAGTGGCTTGTCTCCAGCCGAATCGACGTTGCGGATGTCGAACCCAAGAGATGGTAGTACCACCTTTTTAAGTCTCCATCAACCTCCGTCCAAGCTCTTCACTGCCTTCTACCCAACGTCGAATCTCGTCTGCCGCGGCGTCTAGTATGGTGTATTCCAAGACGATGCTGCCTTTCGTAATGCTGGTGACTTTGATGCGCTTCGGATCAACATCATGAGCTTCAGCGAGCTGCTTGACAACATCCTCCTCGAAAGCATCCCTACACGCTTTCTCGCTGAAAACTTCTGCCACTGAGTTGCCCCGGCACGTTGGAGGAACATCTTCAAGCGTGAGCTTCCATGTGGGAGACGTGCTTGGGGTGATATATGGTACTAAGGCAGACGTGCTTGGGGTGCTACATGGTACTAAGGCAAACGGGTTGTCGAGGCGCAGAATCAGAGAATACCAGTTGCCAAGGACGTGGGACAGAATCTGCGGTAACACTTCAGGATCGTGCAAGCTTCTGGGTAGCTCCTCTCTTGCAAGATCTTCTGGTCTTGGCTTCGAATCCTACGAGCTCGTCGGCCGATGAACTGGATAGTCAAGCATATTGTGCCGTTTCTTGTCACGTCTTTTGAACAACCACCAGAAGACTGCAGCCCCTACAAGTGGCCACATGTGACGAGTGGTCTTGCTTGATTTGCTGCTCTTCGTCAGGCCGTGAGCAAGCCAGCCGGCTCGTGAATAAGAAGGTGATGACAAGAAACGGGGCCACTGCGCGCATGCTGGTGCAAGCGTTGGCGAGACCGGAAGACTCTGCACTGCGACGGCCATGGCTACAACCAAGCTGCGAATGTTTACAGTACAGGCCAAGGCCAAATTGAAATGTTCACTCGGAAACATGTTGGAGTTTAGCAAATATGGAGAACAATGATAGATATGTTCTGAATTCGAGCTTTCCGCTAATACGAGAAGGCGATGACCCGAGTCCTGAATACGAAAGCTAGACAGGGACAGGCTGCCTATGAACACACGAGCCACTGAACATGCTGCTGGTGTGAGCTGATGATTCGTGATACTTCGAAACAATCCTTCAGGCAAGCACACAGGATTATGAGCTGCACACACTGGCACCGGAAGCACGTCTAGCAAAATAAATCACCAATGCCACCTACGCAATCTGCCCCTGGTATGAAACGGAAGCTTAAGAACTTCAGGCTCGCCATGTAGAAGAAACAGTCTTGCAGATGTATATTAAGCAAGTGTAAAAGATGTGCGTGTGTACATATATATATATGTATGTACACACAAACATAATCAAACATACGCAGCAAACACTGCCTGTACCCACAGACGATGTCAAACGAGTTCTTCAAGTACATGCAGAATGACCAGCTGCTTTCCGAAAGTGATGGGTCTGCAAAACGTTCGATTGAAGAATGAGTGTATGTGGAAGAGAATGATAAGTAGGCACATAAACATATACAAAGAAAGAGGAGAGAGAGGGAGAACATGAGGCTTCCCTGGCAGATGGGTGCTCCAAGCTCTTTGTTTATCGCCTGCATCTCGCGCGGCGGCTGCAAGTCCAGGCACTTCGTCAAGCTTGAAACCTTAAACCTTGCGTCCAACGCATGGACATGTGGGAGTTTCCCAAAACAAAGGGTACCGTATTTGGGGTCCTTATAATAAGGATCCTACTATTTAATTAGGGTACTATATTAGAGTCCCTGTTATCGGAAACTCCCATTTGTGACCCTCAGAGCCTCGCTGAGGGAGTTTCCAGGGGCTCCTCCATCCTCCTCAGGAGGTCTTCCTCCAAGCTGTCCGCCTCCGCCTGGCAGGCGCCACGGGCCGCCTGCTGCTGCACCTCTGCATACAGCTCCCGAACGAGTCGGAGCTCTTCGGCTTTGCTTCCGCCGTACCTCTTTCCATCGAGGTGCAGCCCCCAGGCCCCGCTTTTGACCCAAAGCAAATCGCTGCTGCCATCGCTCCCCACCCGCACAAGCACCGGGTTGCCCTGTGGATCTGCTGCGACGCGGAAGCCCGCCGTGGCTTTCGAAAGAAAGCGGCGCAGAAGCTGCTCCAGCGACTCCTCGAGATCTGAATACTTAGGACCTAGGAGAAGGGCCTGAAATCGGAGATCCTGTTGTGTTTCGCTTTGTTGGCTTATCCTGCCAGGCCAGTCCTTCGCAAACATCGCGTCAACCACAACAGCCGCGCCGAAGATGCGCGAAGAATCAGCTATCTCAATAGAGGAAACGCTGGCTGCCGAAAGCTCATCTACCAAGGACCTACTAGGAATGCTACAAACTTGCAAAGCTCGCTCCTGCCCAGCTTTTTGAGGGCATGTCTCTACATGGACGAGGGGAGGGGCAGTAAAACCACACTAAATCGGACAGGGTTACATGCTGATCTACCAGTCGCTTCGAGCGAACACCCCGGGACGAGACGCAAAATGAAGTAAAATCGAGCACGGCGGTTATGGCTATCTGAGTCAGCTGACTCCGCAGCTAAAAAAGTTTCATGCGTGACGACTGATGGCACCGAATCAAGAGATTATCCCGGACTAGCAAAGTCGTGGCAGCTAGGTTTCGCTTAGTCCGTCAACCAATCGGAGAACTGCGGTGGTAAAGGATGTTGTAAAACCTCGTAAACATCAAACTCGTCGAACAGTCCTCTGCAATCTAGAAGTCACTTCAGCCTTGGCGTTGAAAAACAAACTCCAAAAGCAAGTTTCTTGCCAGAACAAAGCCGACAGGCAGTTGGAAGGTCTAAATCTACTGCAGAAGCTCAGTAAAAGCCAAACATCAGCGGGTATAGAGCAATGATTGTTACAGTTGGGACACAGCTGCATGCAACATTCTCAAAATCAACTTTGGCGTTGAACTCAGACATAATGTGTTACAAACCACTCACACTCACAAAGCGATGGCTTGAGCAGCCACAGATTCTCGCGGTTTCTTAGTAACTGATTTCTTGCTGCTGCGTGAGTTCTTCTTGGTGCATCCGTGGTGGATCGCAAAACTATCGGAACACACCAGCGCCGCCAACAAAAAGAAAGGCTTAGGCCAAACCCGGTCAATCAAAGAGGTGCCAATCAACCTACAGAGCTTACCTTCAGGCGAGGTTCTCAAGTTCACAGCTGACCTAGCAAAAGCTGTGCAAGTCAGAAGCGCCATGCGTAGGTGGCGGCAACTGAAATTCCGCTTCCCTTCACCAAAAATTCGTTTGCTGAACACTCTCGCACGCCCGGCTGGAACGTCTTCCAAGCATTGTGCGACGCCAAGGGCGGCGCCGGCGGCCTGCAAACAAGGATGCGAAGGAATTTGCAGCTGGGCACAGCACAAAGCGAGCACCAGCTGCCAGCCGCAGCCTAGCTTAACCCCAAGACATAGCAACACACACGCGACAAGCAGCCAGGTGCCAGCGCAACTGTTCATAGTCACCGGCATGGGATGGAAGAAACATGTCCAACGCTGCTTATCAAAACCTCTGCCTCGCTGTCATCATTGATGTTATTGTCTCTAAATGCAGTGCACATCTGAGATAAGCGGATTTAACACTATGCAGGTTGATATTATCTGGATAAACCACTCCAGGCCAAACCCCCTTCAACAAATCGGGAACTAAAGTTTAAAGTGTTGTTGACTTAGTTCGCACTTGCATTCCGATAGACCACGATGTGGTGCTGTACAACACACTCCGTTTTATCATCTAAGGCTTGTGCTCCTGCTAGTGGTGTAGCTGGTCTTATAACTGGTTCACCTGCATCTGGCACAACTTCAAACAGGAATTCAAGCTGATAATAACGAATCGGTGGCCTGTCTCAGGAACCTGTTAGAGGGAACGGTGCTGGGACTAGGTGGCATCCAAATGCTGGATACCCCACTTCGAGATACCGAAAGATGCCTCTGGTGCTGCGCCGTGCCTTCTTTTATTTATTTCAATATTTTTGTGATTATTTTTAATATTGCTATTAGCAGCTAGGCCTGGCGGCACGAAGGAGTAGGCAACTGCAGCAAAGCATGGCTTGCGACCGCAAGAGGGCATGCATGCAGGAAAAGCACTTCTGCCCAAGATGAACAGCACTCAAGCAACAGATGCTGCATATCCACTCTTTTTAGCAGCGCCAGGCACAAACACTCTCGAATGCAACCCTGAGCATGAATCCATCAAAAGAGGCGCCATGTCTCTTCGAGGCGACAGCTGGCCGACTGTGCCAGGATGCGCTCCTTATGCACAAGTAGGCGAAGACTCAGACGACAACGCCGACTTCCGAGCCCGTCAGACGAGGGGTCGCGAGAACCTCCTCCGGGGACGTGTAGATGTTCGTCATGCCATACGAGACCGCCTGCGTCATCTGCGCGGCGCTGCTGGCCTCGATCTCCAAAGAGTCTGTGGTATTGATGTGGAAGATACCCGCGAGACGCCCGTCCTGGAAGCTGCGGGAGACCCGAGCATACAGTTTCGGATGAGTTTTCTCAGCAGAAATACCCCAAACCCGGCCCCCTAAACCCTAAACCATCAGGATAGACGAATGTTAGAAATTCAGCTTTGGATAGGCTTACTCTTCTAACTACGTTGGCTTCCACTTGCCACCTTCAAAGTTCCTTTAAGGGTTCCTTCGGGGGTTCGTTTAAGAATTCCTTTAAGGGGTCTCAAAGGGTTTCTTCCTATAAGGAAACCTATAGGGATTCATGTAAGGTTGAAGGGCTCAGGGTTTGAAACGTCTAAGGCTTCTTTGGCTGAGGGTTTTAGGGTCTGAGGGCATTTTTGGCTTAGGGTTTCAGGGTTTAGGGTAAACCTTTACAGCTGCTTTGGCATAGCCTTTTAGATGATCTCATATTCCGTGATCAAAATTTGATTCCAGTTTCAGGGTTTGGGAGAAACGTCCTGAAAGAAGACCTCGCAAGCGCTGCCATCGATGAAGATGCTCACTGTCAGCTTCTCTTCGTCGGGGAGCAGTGGCAGGGTCTCCCGTTGCTTGTTGAAACCCACCTTCACGCTCGGCGTGCTGTTCGACTGGAGCACATCAAGAGCGAGTTTGCCGCCGCTCGGAAGCAGGGTTACAGAGAAGTTCGTGTCCGAGGACGGCATAGCGAACTCGAGTGCCACCTCGGAGGCCGTCGATGCTTTCAGGATGAAATGCTGGCCCGGCTCAAGGGCCGTGATCCCGAGCTGGGCGATGATGCCTTTCCTCAGATCCCGGATCTCCTCCACGGGCGCGGAGACGATTTGCTTGAGGCCGGCGTGGTACGTCAGCTCGCGGGGCATGGCCTGGACCCCGGAGGGGATGCGGCCCCAAAGCCAGAGAACGCGGCGCTGCTTCACGGGGTCCCAGAAGTCCTTGGAGGCGTAACCGGCATACATATCGAGGTTCATCTCACGGCTGCCGGGCAGCTGCGTCCAGGTGCCCACGGTGCCCAAGCCTTCTGGGCCCGGCTGGCCGTCCCTCCAGGTGCCCACCTGCACCTTGTCCGGGCCTGCACCAGCCTTGTGGACGTGGTTTGGGAGCTCGCCATGCATCTCGAGGTACCGCTCGCTGCCCGGCGTGAGCTTCGGCAAGGGGAAGAGCGAGGGGCACTCGCCGGCCGAAAGCGAAGTGCAACCGACCTTGTACCACTGGACGAAGTCCATGGACCCGTAGATGGGATTGCCGCCTTCCGGGTGGCAGGCCTGGTTGCCTACAACTCGCCACTCGCCGTGCTCGGTCTTCCAGGCGGTGGACGGATCATCGCCCGTGTTGTGGAGGATTGGGTTGGTGAAGTTTTTCCCCGAGACTGAACCTGTCTTCGACCAGTTGGTGTACAACGGGTCCGATGCGTTGGAAGGCACCGCCAAGGCCCACACAAAGCCATCCTTGCCGCACCAGGGGTCGTTCTTGCACTTGCCCGGATACATGATCACCGGCTTCCCGTCGACGATGGTCGTTGAGCCAGTGTAGATAGCCCTGTTGTCGTACCACTGGTCGTTCCAGATGGCCACGGACAGGCGTGCCCACTTTTTGAAGTCCCGGCTGACCCAGTGACCCCAGTCCGGACCGTCGCCGGTACCGTTCCTGTCTAGTGCCAAGTGGATCTGATAGAAGTTGTGGTACATCCCATGCACCGGGTCATAAAAGGGACCATTTGGATCGTTGATGTCGCAGGTGGTGTCTGCCAAGTGAAAGGTGTAGGTCGGAGGGCTGCCAATGCACTGATCGTTGCCTGGCGCACAAGGCCCACCCGTACAATTGACGCAGCGGGTCCAACCACAGCCCAAGAATTCAGCACTGGCAGCGCTGATGAGCAGCGCTATGGCGAACTTAGACATAGGGGGCGAATACCGTCGCATACTGCGATTGACGGAACACAAATACCCACACAACCAACACCTTAGACTTGTAGATACAAACAACAAGCATACACACCTCTGGTTCTGATCTGGCATGTTTTGCTGCTTGCGGTGAGCCCTCCCGAAGGAGACGGGCCATGGCAACATTGACAATCGCGAAACACGGAGGCAGCAACCAAGCACTGAGGGTCTTGTTGGTATGCTGTCATTTGAATATACTCAACTATATGACAATAGTCTGTTTCAGCGCTGAAGGCGGATGCTCTCTAAACCCTAAACCCTAAACCCTACACCGCACCCTCAAGCCAAAACCCTAGCTCTTGCCAGGAAACTCGAGCACTCCCTTTTCCTAGGCCTGGCTTTCGAACCTCAGCACTAAACATCCACACCCCTGAATGCAAGAAATCCCTGAACTCCCGTTCGGGTTTAAGGCCATAAACGCCTGTTCCTAATTATAGTAGCAATGCCTGACATCAACAAGAGAACTGCAAAAACAAACACAACATGACGGTACAGAGAATGGCCCTAGTAAAGGTGCCACCGGAAATTGCGAACCATGCCTGATGTACAGGCCTTAATAATTAGAATAGGGTTTGGGGGTATAGTATACCATAATTACAAGAAGGAACCCCCAAAACCCTATTCTACTAACGAAGGCCCCAACATGACACCCTGCAAAGATCTCCTAGGCCCTACAAACCCTAAGTCCAGGCCCATGGGGCCTTTGCGTCCAGCGCAGCGCATCGCTGCCGGCTTGCCGGTGCGGGTGGGTGGAAGATCGGGCTGCCGAGCCGAAGGCTTTGTTTGGGTTTTGTTTCTGTTCTGGGTTTTGTGTTGTTTCTGTTTTGGGTTTTGGTTTACGGGTTACGGGTTTAGGGTGTTGGGTTTAGGGATGGGTGTCACGAGTAAGGCTGTTCGATCTCGAAAAATTGAAAGTTTGAACGCATCAGATGCGCCACGAGGCGACGACTATATGACGATCCGACGACGCGGCGACAACGAGGTGAGGACAGAGGTGAGGACGGGCGACACGACGCGGCGCGGGAGCGAGGATAGAGGTGAGGATAGCGGGAAATACCGCGGGGGACAATGTGGAGGAGCGAAGCGAACGGAGCGAACCAAGCGAACGGAGCGAGCGAACGGAGGGAACAGAGCAGCGCGGAGTCAGCGAAGTGAGCGCAGTGAGCGGAGTGAGTAAGTGCGCAGAGTGAGTAAGTGAGCGGAGCGAGAGAGAAGCGAGAGAGTCGACAATCTTCGAGTTCCGATTGCAAGAAAAAGTTTCGGGCCAAAGGGCCAATGATCGTTGCGTCCTGAACCTCTGAGCATTGCCGAGTCTTCAGTACGCTCAACACCCTTTCGATTTTTGAATCAAGTGCCAAAGAGACCCTCTCTCTATGGAGGTATCCCAAACACCATCATAAGTAGACTCTGGATCTTGGTATCCAACACCCTTGAGAATTCCGAAATTTCGACTCGATCTAGAATGGGGTCTCAGGCTTCGTAGCTCGACGATTTTTGGGGTTCAACAGTGCCTTCATAACGCGATTTCCTCGCAACGAGAGGCTTCGACATACATTGGATAGGGGGGTAGTTCGGACCAATCAATTTTCAGGCCCGATTTCGGGATTTTCAGCCTCGAAACGGTCTTTGACGGTTTCTCCGACGTTTCGGAATTCGTGTCGAGATTCGGGAGATTTCAGCCTCGAAACGGTCTCGGAAAAAAAACCCTCACTTTTTCCAACGATTCGGCATTCGGGGTCAGATTGGGGTTTTCGTGCTGTAAAACGATGTTCTACGATTCTACGATTCAAGGTTGAGCAAAGATGAAGCAAGGTTGACCAAGATGAATCCATGATGAATCCATGATGACTCAAAGATGACTCCAAGATGACTCAATAATGCACCAAAGATGGATCAAGAATCGTTAACCCTGGTTTGGTCGATTCGGCTTGTTTAACCCCATTAGGCCTCTTCCGAATGGTCCTTGGGCACTTTGGGCCTGGTTCATGGGCAAGCGGCGCGTTGAGTGATGTCGATCTTCGGGAAAACACAGGGAGACTCGGAGATTGCCATGACTCCCCACTTGGAGGATCATGGGACTTAGTCAGCAAGGTTATACGTACTTTAACTTGGAATCCGAGTAAACCCTAATTACAAAGGTCCATGATGCCTTAAGTACAACTTCAGGCCTCCAAGCCCTCCGCCAGTTAGTCTAGCCACCGATACTATAATGGCCTGAATTATTAGATTAGAAAGTATTTTGTAGGAACCAGCAAAGCGACTGGCAAGAGAAACGTATCAAAGAAAACATATAAATCGCGAATCAAATATCTTTCCAATATAAATCAATCGAGGCTTCGGCACTGAGGACTCAGCATTTTCCCGGATGTCCAGTTCGCGCCGTAACAGCGAGCCGAGACCGGATCCCCATTCGGGGACCGGCCTCCACCCATAGCTCAAACTAACATCCCACCGGCGCAAGGTAAAGTTCCAGGGTGGGACGGGTGGGACTAAAAACTTCTAAGCTCCCTCCTCTGGAGCCTCTATTTCACGGAGATAACCGGATCAGTCATCAGAACACTAAAAGCAATGCAAATCGACACGTGAAAGATCTACAGCAAAATCACATGAAAGAAGCGTGCGGAAAATCGGAAAGGAAATCGTGCTGATAAAATCAGTTAAAACTTTCTTTGGGGCCCGCCCTCCTCCCCTTTGCATCCTACAAACCCCTTTGGGCAAGCCCAAGAAGCTTTTTAGGAACCAGCAAAGCGACTGGCAAGAGAAACGTATCAAAGAAAACATATAAATCGCGAATCAAATATCTTTCCAATATAAATCAATCGAGGCTTCGGCACTGAGGACTCAGCATTTTCCCGGATGTCCAGCTCGCGCCGTCACAGCGAGCCGAGACCGGATCCCCATTCGGGGACCGGCCTCCACCCACCATCGCGAGGATCGCTTTACCACTTCGTCTTAGTGGCCAGCTTCTGCTTCTTTGTCAAAGGCATCGGAGGGGCACTTCATTCTCCCCCTTTTCGCCATTCGAGCATTTCAGAATGAAAACTTGCCAAATCAAGAAGGAGCTTGCACGGCACATCAGAAAACTTTGCATCAATCCGAAGAGCTAAGTCGAAGGCATTGAACCGTTCATTCGTCAAGTCGTCCGCTTCAGTGTTGAGCTCGCGCGGTCGCCAGTTCAAGTTCATATGGCCCCCGCAGCGGAACAAATCTTACTCCAGCTGCATATATACATACGTCAATGGGAATTTCGTGGTTCCCTGACGGCGCATGACCAGCTCATTCGCCAGATTGTCCGTCCCAGCAGAAACCGTGAAACTCTGCCCAGTCACATCTAGCCATCCGAACAAGTGCAGCCCCAGCCACGTAGCGGGAAGCTCGGCAACAGTGCTCATTCCTTTCGCGGTCCCTTGCGCATTAAACAAGAAAGGATAATCAGCAGCAGAGACCCGGACAGAAAACCAGCGGCACTTCTTTGGCTCAAAGCTGTGCAATGTTTCCCATCCACCCAGCACGAAGAAGTCATCCTCTGCCTTCGCGTCCGTGCGAAATGCTTCGCGAAGCATCAAGGGTGGTGACTTACAGCAGACAAGATAATGCTTCTCTTGCAGCAGTGTCAAGATGTAGCGGAGAACCACCATCACCATACGGGGTACCAGAGCCACAGTTCCAGGGGTGATGGCAGCTTTCCAGCGATGAAGCGGCCTCATAAACGGCTGGAGCCAATACAGGACTTGCCCAGCGTAGACTAATCGCCCCACATTTCCAGTGAAGCGCCGATGGTCAATCATCCCCGGGCCCCTCTGCGGATCCGCGATGAACTCGATGAGCCAGCTCGCCCGACGCTCCGACAGCCCCACTTTGAACCGAAAGTAATCAAAGTAGAAACCCACATAATCCAAGCAAACTCCCCCGCGAAACTCAGACCACTTAAAAGGAGTGCCAACCATAAGCCAATACTTCAGAAGTAGAGGAGCACCACCCAAAGGTCGTGGTACTTCTGTTCTCCACCCGCCATGATCTGCAGGTCATCCGCGAAGAGCATCTGGAAAAGCGAGGCCTGCAGTGCAATGCGAAGGGCTCCACGGCCTATCAGCCCAGCAGGCCACACCGAACGTTCCCACCCGGTTGATCCAAATCGGGCCGTCTGGCCTAGCCCGGCACCCTAGGTAACCATGATCTTCGGGTGCATGCTTGTATCTCCGATGTGCTTTTGCAATGTCTGCAGCGATTCCGATCAGTAGTCGATGGCCATCCTCTTGTTGGACTTCCATTGCCCTCGCTGCATTCGAAGGTGTGGGGAATTCGAGTTTATCAAAAATCTTAATCATGTTGCTCAGCTTGACGGAGTGAGTGCCGTCAAAGAGGGCTCGTACCGAACCATCATCCTTTATGATAGCTCCGAGACTTGCCACTCGCAGCGTCTCCCCAAACCGACGCCGCGCCACCCCCTCCCCCAAACGGTTTTGACAGGCCCCCCCTCGAATATACATTAACCGGCCGGGGGGAATGTATAATATTAGGGGGTTGGCTAGGTTCTCGTTTGCGACAGTTTTCGAGGTTCTCACAACTTCACACTGGCTTCACATGCACTCGTTCACACTGGCTTCGTGATGCCAGGGTGCTTGCAAGACTTGACAGAGGAGGCTAGAGTTCTGTTGCTGCCGCACCGCCGCTACAACTTGGAAGCTGAACTTCTCCCCGGCAACGTTGGCTTCTACAGGCGGGTGGCCAGGGGAGTGCCAGGGGTCACGTGCGGTAGTGTTCTGCTTAAGAATTGCACACGACCTGAGATTGGAGCTGGCTCCAGCACTTATGGCATTCTTTCCCCCCGAACCCTAGAAATTGGCCGTGAGGCAACCCCCTTCTCGGGGCCGGGGGGGGTTGGTGGCCGGGTTTGGGCCGTCGTAATGATATCCTGTACATGTGCTGCAAACCTAGCTCGGGCAGGCTGGACTGGCAAACTCAGTCGGACTACTGGCTGGTGTTCCTGCAGGAGGTCAGCGCGTTTCTGCGGCACGGTGATGCTGAGACGTTCCCAGGACCGCAGCCACAAAGCCAGCACAGCACCGTAACACGTCCGTCTTTGGCTGCTACTACTACTACTACTACTACTACTACTACTACTACTACTACTACTGCTGTTGTCAGGCTTGTCACGGGAGTCACGGATGGAGCTGGTCCACGAGGATCCCATGGCCTTGTTGGTGAGATCAAGGTACAGACCGCTGGTGGAGCACATTTGGCAACATGAGTGGCAGGCTCTGCAGGACCGGTTGGGCGTGGCTGGGCGCAGTGCAAGCACTCTTCTGTAGCAGTGTTGATGTAGTGTTGATGTCTTCTCTGTCTCGTCATCCACAACCAAAACTAGTGGGACATTCCGCGATTGCGTCTTGTACCCAGTCAGCTACGAGAGCGTGTAGATACTATGAGTATATTATGTGTCGAGGTCGGGGAGAGTTGTCTGGGAATCCTCGAGTTTTCCTAGGAGTGAACCAAGGCCGAAATGTATATTTGGCGGGGGTTTGGGAACGAGACCCCCCGAAATATACATTACGTGCGCGTAGCTCTCGGTAGTCTCTCGGCAAAGGAGCCTGGCAGCAGTCGGGTTGCGCGTTCGGTTTGTTGTGAGAGTGTTGTCAGCATTCTCAGGAGTGAACCACAGCTGGGATGTATATTTGGGGGGGTTTGGAAACCAGAACCCCCCGAAATATACATTACGCGTGTCTAGCTCTCCGTAAGCGTCGGTAAGTGAGCCTCGCAGCAGTCTGGCACCAGTCGCGGGTCCTTTCCCAGAAAAGGACCCTAGATCGAGCAACATCTCTTCTTACCCAACCTTGCATAAAAAACCAGATTCATAGGGACTTGGGTACAAGCTCGGGCTGGCAAACCCTGCTGTAATGTATATTTGGGGGGGGGTTGGGACCAAGCCCCCTCCAAATATACATTACGTGTGCCTGGCTCTCGGTGAATGAGTAGTCTATGGAGTTCTAGCACTGTTCTAGTAGTGTTCTGGTAGAGTTCAATAAGAGGTTCAGTATAGATTCTGTAAGTGTTCCGAAGTGTTCTGTGTTTTGCAAGCCTCCTCGTGCATTCCTGGGAGTGAGCCAGGGCTGAAATGTATATTTGGGGGGGGGTTTGGGACCAAGACCCCCCCAAATATACATTACGTGTGCTTGGTTCCAGGACGGCGGAAGCAAGTGCTGGGAGTCTGAGGCGAGCCAGAACTCCAGCGACCTGCCCGAGGCGTGTTCCACAGCCTGCACGTTTCATTGTCTCCTTCTCATCCGACAGTGGTGGGGTGATGCTTCCGGGGCCTGGCTGCGATCTTGGCTGGGCCAGGATCCTAAAAACCAGGCCATCTCAGAGACTTGTTGCTGCATGGTGCAGCGCTCAGCCAAGTGTACTCGGGAATAGTGCGGCAGAAACAAGCTGCAGAGATCGGCTGTCCACTGGATGCCTATGTGCTGCCGGACGAAGTTGCCTTCCATGTGACCCGTGGGCTGTTGGCAAGTGATGCTTTGCCATAATTACGGTAAAGGACATTCCAGCCCATCTCGACCCCCGGGAGGTCCAGAATCCTAAACCCGCCTTGTAGCAGTGGTCGTAGTAGTGGTGGTGGTAGTAGTAGGAGTAGTAGTGGAGTAGTTGTTGTTGGCAAAGCCAATAGTCCACTAGTGGTTGTGCACCGGTTCTGCTGATGTCGTGCTATGCACCGCTACGACTTGTCCAAGCCACCTCGGCGCCAAAGGAAGCGAGCGGCATAGTGCTTTCGAAACATGTTGCATCGCAGACTTCTGGCAGCCAGCAGAAATGTATATCAGCCCCCCCTCGAAATCGAATTATCTGGCCCGGGCCAGAGAAATGTATTTCTTCAAATGCTGTACCCCCCCCCTCGATATACATTGTTAGGCGTCCCCCTGCCGCGCCTCCTTCTCAGACAATGGGTACATGAATCCAAACGCCTCCTCCTCCTCGAACTGTTTCTTCAGCTGCTCAGGTACGGCCTTGGCCGAAGAATAGTTCTCATTGATCGCTTGAAATTCAGACTCATCATACTCTCGCCACTCCCCTTTTGGCCTGAAGACCGCCACTACGCGAGGAAAGGGTCGATCCACTCCCAATCTCCGCCCACGAGCATAGTTGTCCTCTGCACGAGTGAGAACCTCCCAGTCTTCATCTCCCATAGCCCGACAAGTCTGCGAGAGCGCCTCCAAGAAGAATGGTGCCCAGGCTCCTGGAGAGCGGCCGCTGAAGGATCTTCTAGCAGAGCGAACCAAAACCTACGAAGACGATCCATGGCCTGAACAGAGAAAGGTGCTTCCTCATACTTGCCCAATGCCAACATGAAATACGCCCGCTGTGGGTCCACGATCTCTGCTGATGAAGTCATCAAGAAGGCTCCGAAGAGCGTTCACGAACTCGTCGGACTCCCTGGTGAGCCCCCTCCCCCGAGCGGTTGGGCGCCAATGACCCGGACTGTTAAGCCCACAACTATCAACCGAAGTTGTCTTTGCGAGCCTGGACCAGTGACCATGGAAGGTGTCACCCTCCTCTCCAGCTCTCCACTCGAGAAGCCGGACTGATGGTGTAAGTCCGCTCGATACAGCTTCATCTGTCTGCGACACATCCTGCTCCCGAGAGCCTTTTCCAGGTGTTCTTCAAGGTGCGGCAAGCTTCAGCAGTTCCCGGATCGAGAACCTAATGATCACGGTACGTACGCCTTTCCACGACAATGTCGCATGGAGTCGCCGAGGATCCAGCAGTTGGAGGTGACGAGTCCTCAACACCACCACTGAAGTAAAGACGTATCCTGGAAGTGCAGCACGAAGGATCCCACAAAGAAGTACCGTAACCCAGAGATGACAGGACACATGCGTGCGAAGCCCGATGATCCCGCCATGCTGAAAGAAGCCACTCATGAAAGTCTTCGAGGTCAGATCTCTAGCAGTAGCGCGGACCTCGGATCCGACGTTAGAAGACCCACAGAGCTTTTCGAAGTCCTCCACAGTCAACGCGACAGAGACGCAGCATGCTTTTGGAGAGCGCACATCAGCAGTAGATAAGCTGCCACAAGCTCAGGTGGCCCCGAGAACAAGGCACACCAATCAGACGGCTCCAAAAAAGGCGAGTGGGCTTCATCGAAGTTCCAGACTGAAGCAGGAACGAAGTCGTTAGCCGCGCCCAGTTGCTCTGGGTGCTCAAATATGAATGGCTTGCAAAGCTCAAGGCAACGAAACAAATTTCGAAGCACTTCAGCATCCCGAAATTAGCCTTCTCACCGTAGAACGATCTTCATCACAGCCAAGAAAACCCGAAACGTGCGAAGCTGGACGCGCGCCTGTGTACCTCAGTCGCCTGCCAGATCGAATCCGGGTCCCACCGAGTCCCATCCGGCTTCCAGCTGGTCCATCTGGGTCCCGTTTTTGTACAGCAGAGTCGTGTTAACAGTATCCGAAGCGATGGAATAAAGGTAGAACGCCTCCGGCACAGCGGCCACCAGCGATTTCGCGGGCGGAATCGGTTTGGCCTTGACACAGAGTCGCAGACGGGTCGAAAGTGTGCAACACATGGTGCAGACGCGAAGACTTGGGAGTTTGAGCGCAGTGACCGCAACCAGTTGAAGGTTCTTCGAAATGAAAACACTCTTGTACAGCGAGCTTACTTCGCTTGCTCGCCAGGAAGCAGGAATTGAAGCATCGCATGCGCAATGACATTCAATGCTGCATGCACACTCCGTTAAAAACCTACAAGGCGAACAGCCCTTCAGGTTTAAGGCAAACAAGTTCCAAGCACCCTTGCAAGCAAAGCAAGCTCACAAAACACTCGGACAGTTCACACTTTCAGCACGCACAGCTCACTGCTGGTCTCACGTGTCTTGAGCCAAACGACAGTAGTCGTGGCACCTCTTAAAAGCTCCCAAGCACTACAAAACAAGGGAAAACAGGTTGAGGCTACCGCAAAACCGTCACGCAAGCTCAAACTACGTTCTACAGGCACTGACCACCTGAAACTAGCAAAACTGTACAACTATACAGGTACCGAGGAAAAAACTCTGTGTCGCACCTAAAACACTACTGGGCAGAGCACTGGTTTTCTACACCCCCCCACGACGCAGTAGCTGTCGGAGGTACCAGGTGGAGTTCCCTTAAACAGTACTCGCACGCCACTTTAGTAGCGATGCGATTCGGAATCGCGTTCCTGAGGCCGTGGCAGTCCCTACGCACGTGGAAACAGTCTCCGTAAGCAGAAGTAAAGACAGCCATCTTCTGGCCCGACCTTGGCAGAAACGAAAGAAGGTCCTGCACAGTCTGGACGCGGGAGCTCTCGGTACGCAGTTTCTGCAAGCACACTCCAAGCGCAACACCCACAAGCAGTGGGACAAGCACAACAGTGAGAAGCCCTACACTCGGAACTTCGAGAAGCTTCTCTTGCACTTCCACAACCAGGCCAAACACCATGGCACGCTCGGCAGCGAAAGGAGCCAGAGACATCTTAAACGTCCTGGCAAAGAAAGAAAACACCGGAAAGTTTGAGCAAACGGGCTGCGCAGCAAACATGTAGCAACATGTCCTCGACAACGACAAGACTCTCGTAAAAAGTCAAGAGCGCAAAGCTTCGAAGAAGGACTTTACAAGCTCTACCGGGTAGTGCTGTGTATTCTTGAGGTCGAAGTCCTTCGAGTGCTGATGCTTCCCAGAGCAACGATAGACACGAATGCTCTCAGCGACTGCTGGGTGTGTGGTAACAACACGCCATCGCTTGGCGATCAGAAGATGATCGCGGCCCCGCATATCAAGCGCACAACCATCAACTGGAACGTCGTGCAAAACGTAGGGGCGTGAGGAAAGAAAATGCTCAGTCTGGCGCCAAGACCAGTAAGCACAAGCACGCGGCCACTCAATGGCCCAAGCATGCACAAAGCTAGTAAGCTCGACCAAGCTTCTCCAGAGCTTCCGGTGAAGCCTCCAGTGCTGAGCCAACCGCCCTCGGCGATAAGCTGGATCACGGGCACGCAGCCTCTGATACGGGCAGCCTCCTGTGCACGGGGTACTAGCCCATAAGAAGACAAAACCCTTCTTCTTGATCTGCTCAGCAAAGATGGCTTTGAGCTCAAGCAAGGTCTGTGCACTGGCACCATCATCACGCTCACTCACAGTAAGCACATTCACCCAGTTTAAGTCCTGGCTAGCCGCTTTCATCGATGATTCAACGGGGGCACAGAACTCAATCACCAACCAAGAGGCATGCGGCATGGCGGCAAAACGGTCACGCAAGCGAACATGGTTCTTACCAACAAGCATTGCACCGCACAACGCAACAAAGCCATCAAGCAAACAAGCAATAACGGCAACGTCACGCAAGCCAAGTCCCCACATGTGCTTCAAGGTAACAGTCCAACTCAGAGGTTTGGTGAACAAATCTGCAACATTGGCTTCACCGCGCACGCCAAAGATAAAAATCTGCTTTTGCCTGAGCTGGTCTTGGATAAAGCACGCCCTAAGGTCAATGTGCCTCACCTTCCTCAGCCCATCAGCCTTGCTGATAGCAACTGCAGCCTCGCTGTCACAGAAAAGATGGGGCTTGGGCAGATCTGCCCATCCAAAGACATGCGAGATGGCGCGGCGGATAGAGAGAGCCTCTTTCGCGCCCTCCACAAGCCCATAGAGCTCGCTCTCGGCAGAACTCAAGGCAACAGCCTGTTGCAGACGACTCCAGGCCTTCAAACAGAAGCCTCCCAACATCACGCACCCTCCGCTGATGCTCTTCCTGTCAACGTTCTTCTCGCTACCCCAGGAAGCGTCCACATAGCAATCAAGGCGCAGGTTCTCTTCAGCAACCGGGTTCACTACCTGCTTAAAACCCTGAATATACTTCAAGTAACGCAACATAGCTCTCATAGCTCTCTCGTGCTTTTCGAGTGGATTCGCCTGGCCTCGGGCCAGCATGCTCACGTAGTAGACCACATCCACCCTTGTCATCGCAAGCCATGACAGCCTTCCCAGGGAACTGCGAAACCTCGCAGCAGCTTCAGAAGACAGGGATTTCTCCAAGCAAGGATCTTCTTTGTCGTACAACTCCTTTAGGTTGGGCGGCGTGCCACACGCGGTCACCTTGGAGTTCCCGAAGAAACCCTTGTAGATTTCCTCGTAGTAGGAATCGGACATGGTGACACACAGGGAGTCACTAGAATGCTCTCGGGCAATCTGTCTTCCAAGGAAGGTGATCTGACCGTCGCGGTCCAGATCGGCTGTGACCTTCACCTTCACAGCGGTCTTCAGCTGCTCCACCACATGGTAGATAGCTTCATCGCTGTCTCCTGTGATGAGAAGATCATCAACGTAGCAAAGAACAACCACACGCTGGCCTCCAAGCACAGAGCCTGAAAACAAACAAGCCTCAGTCTCACAGGGCTCCAGGTCACAGAGCTTCTTCAGCAGCTTTGCCAGGTGACGCGACCAGGTCTGAGCTGCGACTCTTAGACCATATAGGGCCTTCTTAAGGCGCAAGTAGCCACGGCGGCCGTCCTTGCCCTTCACTCCGTCTGGCAGCCTGACCACAATGTGGCCATCTTCCTCGTCGAGGTCCGCGAAGAGAAACGCGGTGCTCACATCCAACCCGACGATGTTCCTTCTCTTGGAACCCGCGTAGAAAAGAAAAGTTCGCAGCGCTTCTGCAGAGCTTGTGGCAGCAGAGATGCCAAGCTGTGCCGCGGTCGCTCCCTGCGCAAAGTCACGAGCAACTACCCGACACCTGACAAGCGGATTCTCCTTCCCCTCAACACGCTCTACTTTGGCATTGGAGACCCACCTTGTAGAGATCACTTTCTGCTTCGGATCAACATGCCACACAACATCACCGACAGCAAGCGATTCAAGAGCACGAAGTTCACGCAACATGCCTTCATAGGTCAAGCCAATATCAAGCAGGTGCCCCGTCACATCATCCTTTGCAGAAGCTGGCACTTCGACAAGCAGCTTCTCCCCCCCAAGCTCGACAACCTGAGGAGTAACAACCTTGGTGGCGGCTCCCGCAAAACAAACCGACGCACCAGCAAAGGCGATGGACTCTCGGTACATCATACTGGACACCATGGCCTCCCGCTCTTCTTCAGGGAGTGCCTCAAGAGGTTCAGGATCAACTTGCATGAAATCAAGCTCGCCTGGGCTCGGGGCCTCGATCTGCTCGAGTTCTTCTCCAAGCTCTATTTCATTCTCAACTCCAGGCAGACTGGGCTCATACTCAGCCAAATCCTCATCCAATGGAAAATTCGGGAACGGATCAAGATCATCCGGCACATCAAGCCCAAGATCAACACCAAATCCAGCACCCAAATCATCACGCCCGGTCACTTCTTCTTCAATTGGGGCCTGATCGAGGATTGCCCGGCTGGGATCGAAAGAGTTTCTCACAAACTCAGCGTATCGATCACGGCACTTCTGGGTGTGCCAGGCCTTATCTGCTGGAAAACCGCGCAGCCGGCAAGCTCGGCACCTTGGGGTTCTCCCGTTTTCTTCAATCCACTCTGGTGGTGGTCCTCGGGTTGCGGTGTTCGGCAACGGGAGGTCGCGCACATTGTCACCACTGCTCTCGGGGAGCTTCTTCTGGGAATCATCCCTTCTTCCGGGCAACATGCGACAAACACCTTTCAAGCTCGACACCTCAAAAGTGAGAGGAACCAACATCCGGATTCTTGCGCTTCTCGCAATCTTCAAAGTGCCATCCCGCAGCCTAAACTGCACAATGTGGCTTCCACTTCCGACCTCTGGTCCAAGGTAGGCGGCGTGGCCGTAACGGCCGGTGATTTTATCACGCAAAGAGGGAGGAGGAGTGGCAAGCACAGCAGCACCCCAAACATAGGCGGCATGCGGTCCACGGGTGGTCTTCAAGCACCGCTGTTCTGGGGACAGCGCTGATCCAGGATGCACCTGGTACCGGTTGTAGACCTGGGCAACGTGCATCAAAAGATACGTAACACCCTTCCCGCAGGGCTCCAAGCCGACCTGTTCCAACCCAGCACACAGTGTGTTTGCACCTTCCTTGATGGTCCTCACAGCACGCTCTGCAACAACAGCATGCCGACCAACAGGGGCATCCACAACCTCGATGGCACCAGCGGTCAAACCATCAGCAAAACTTTGCGCAAGGTTCTTCACAACACCCTCAATGTCCGACTTCACACTCACCGTCAACTCACTGGGAGCAACACCAACCAAGCCAACGCTACGACTCCATGCCGACATGTCACTCAACATGGCTTCCTTGGCTGCTGGGCCTCGGGATCCGCTCACCTCACGGTACGGAACTACACCGAGGGCAAAAGCACCAACCAAAACCAACACCAGGAAAGCGAGGCCCTTGTAGAAAAACTTATCTATCTGCACCTCTCTCATCCCTGAGTCCTGGGGCCGATCCTGGCTTCTGGCGGGTTCAAGCCCACGACCTTGCACGCACTGCGGGCAAGACGCATTGTACGGCACATGCGATCTAAGAACATGTTCTCGCTCTAGCTTACCCCAACTCTCCTGCAACAACAGTTCCCGATCCCCTCTAAGCAACCATGCTTCACTCTGGCTATCATGGGCCTCGCTCCGGTCACGCTGTGGTCGGTCCTGGCCAACATGCTCAAGCAACTCACCATGCTGCAAATCATGCTCACCCAAACCACCAACACATGCATGCTCACCAAGCTCAACGGCAACATCATGCTCACATGCAAACGCAACCTTTTCTTGCATCAGAAGCGAGAGTCCCAAGGAAGAAGGACCATCGGATATTCCTGGATGGTGGGCGTCCTCGGAAGATTGGCGGGCGTCCTTGGAGGATCCTTGTGCACCGCCATGGCTCACTCTATCTCGATGCTCTCGAGCTCCACCACCTCGCCCCGCGAGTTGTAGATCTTGCCGTCGTCCCCGATGTGCAGCTCCTCGGCTCTCCTCTCTGCTGGGGGCTCCTCGGCTCTCGTCTCGGCTGGGGTTTCCCTGGCCCTTGCATCCACCGGCACACTGGACACTGGTGACCATGGCGGCAGACTGGACACAGGTGACCACTCTGAGGGCGCAGAGGCCCCTCGTCCGGCTGACCTCGGGTCTCTCGGTGGCGTGGGAAGCCTCCTCCGCGGCGGTACCGGTGGTGGGGGATTGATCTCCATGCCTCCTTCCACCTTTATCTGTGGCACCTTTGCTGCACGCGCGGCCTCCACCTTGGCTCGCGCAGGTGGTGTTCTCGGTTGCGGTACCATTGGCGATCCTGGTGGTCCTGGGGGTTCCTTGATGACTTCGGAAATCGTCACCTCCACGAAAGGAATCTCCAGGCCCTTGATTTGCGCATAGTGGTCCTTGACGTGTTTTTCCAATGTCCTCCGCACCGGAGGGCCCTTCTGCTCCTCGGCCTTCTTCTTCATGGCGTTGTTGATGGCCTTCATGAGGTAGCCCTGCTTCTTCTTTTCCTTGGCTCGCTGCGAAAGCATTCTCAGCGCAGTCTCCGTCTGCCCGGGAATCCCGCGCTGGGCCCGGCTCTTCAAGACGATCTTTCGGACCTTGGCTGGCATTGCCTTCACCACGGGCGGCTTGGGCTGCCTCTTCACCAGTGGCTGCGGTGGGTCCTTTGACCCCGAAGACGGCTCCGCCTTTGCTCTGGCCACACTGCCCTTGGGCTTCTTGACCTCTGGGACCTCGATTGCTTCGGCGACCCTCTTCTTGGCCTCTGTGGCTGCCTTCTTCTCTGCCTCCACGGCCTCTGTGGCTGCCTTCTTCTCTGCCTCCGTGGCCTCTGTGGCTGCCTTCTTCTTTGCCTCCGCGGCCTCTGTGGCTGCTTTCTCCTTTGCCTCGGCTTTGGCGGCTCTCTTCTTCTTTGCTTCCTCTGCTTCCTTGGCCCACTGGGCGCTCTCCTGGCGCTCCTTCACGAATTTCTCCGCCGCTGCTTTCGCAGCTGCCTTTGCCTGCTCAGGCCTGCTCTGCCGTCTTCTTCTTCACTTCCGCGGCTGGCACCAACAGCAGGTTCTGGCCCGGCGTAAGACCCACCATCGAGGTTGCCGTAAAGGCGATCGTGGATCCCTCGAAATCCTCGTGAGTCCTCGTAACAGTCGCCGCGTGCTGCTCCGCCAGGTGGCGGCGACCCGAAAGGCGCCACTCCTGCTCCGAGTCGGAGGAGGACTCCTCGGGTGCCCGGTTGCTCCTCCTCATCCTTCTTAGAAGGCTTTCCCGACGAAGGAGCGCAGCCGTCACTACGCTTCAAGCTCGCTCGGGCGGCAACTGCAACGGAACGGTCAAGCTCAACAGCACTCGAGAAAACCCATCCGCAATTGGAGACCCATCTCGTGCGAAGAACGTACCCAGCGGCCTCAACTTTAAAACTTGGCAGGAAATCCACAACCCAGCTCTTGCCCAGCAAACGCCCTAAGGACAGCAGGTTAAACTTCACAGGAGCAACAAGCACTTGGAGTTCTGTTACCACCGTCTCGCCCGAAACCAAAACGAAAGGAACCCTGACAACCGCAGACCTCCGAACTCCAATGCTGTCACCCGTTGCAGAAACACACTCACTGGCAGACTCACTGTGGCTCACAACTTGCACCCGGCTCAAAGTGTCCTCGTTGATGATGTGGGCCGACGCGCCGGAGTCAACGAGCCACCAATCCATGGTGTCATGCTGCTGGCTGGCTGCTGCTGTCTCGTGCGCTACCATGCCATGGTCAGCTCTACCTACCACATGCAACATGTCATGCTCAACGACATTTTGAAAATCTGCAACAAAACGACCTGCTTCCAAGCTCAACTCTGGGGACTCTGCAAGCTCGACTGTGGTTCTGTCTGGGACCTGGTGGGACTCTGCAAGCTCGACTGTGGTTCTGTTTGGGACACCGCGGGACTCTGCAAGCTCAACTGTGGCTCTGTTTGGGTTGTCACAAGGAAAATTCTCAAGCGCAACATGCAACATGGAACCCTCAAGCGCAACAGGCTCACCGCCTTCAAGCACAACAGGCTCCGACCAAGCACACTCATAAGATGCAACGAACTCCTCCCAATCCTCCTGGGAAAAATCCGAGCAATCATCCTCATCAAGCTCAACAACCGGACAACTCAGATCAACCGCAGCTGCGAAAATCTGAGGCTCCAAAGAGGCAGCCGCGACCTGCGGCTCAAGCAAAGCAGCTGCTGATGCTCTTTCCCTCTTGGGCTTGGGACACTTATTCGAGTAGTGCCCGAACTGGTCACAGTTGTAACACTTGACGTTCTTCAAGCGCTCTGCTTTCTCCTTCTCCTTCTCCTTGTCGTTTCCAGAACCTTGCTTGCCGTCCTTTGCGGCTACAGTCTTCCCCTTGTCCTTGCCTTTGTCCTTTCCACCTTTCCCTTTTTCTTCCTTTCCTTTCTCATTCCCTTTCTTGTTGTCCTTTCCTTTGTCCTTTCCTTTTCCTTTTTCTTCCTTTCCTTTGTCACCCTTCTTGCCCTTTCCCTTGTCTCCGAAGGTCAAAGCATTCGCGTGATCCTTTGCTGCTCCCTTTCCTTCCTTCTCTTGGAAATTCAGGATCTTAAGGTTGGCATCATAAAACTTCAAAGCAGTCTCAAGCTGGTCCATGGAGTCAACCCTAGCATGCAAAAGAACATACTTCTTCACTTCGACATCAAGGTTTCTCAAAACAATCATGCAACGGTCTGCCTCACTCAACGCAAGATCTGGAAACCCTGCGGTCAAGCGGGTAAACTTGGCAAGCTCCAACTGGATGTTTCGAAACATGTCAAGTGGACGATTGGCAGGAGTGCTCGCGCGGTACTGCAGGGCCTCATTCCGAAGCGTCGAAGCCTCGATGCGGCTCGCAACAGACAACTCCTGATGCAACCTCCTCATGCACTCGTACCCAGCTGGGGAGCCAAGCTGCTCCTTCTCTACTTGCTTAACCAAGTCAAGCCCACGAGCAAACCCTTGCAACGCTTGCTTCAGGTACAAGAAGGTCCTAGTTGAACGCACGCTCTGTCCCTTTTCAAGCGATGACTGCTTGATGGTGACCTCAGAAGCAATCGATCGATGAAGCTCTTCCGGGATCCTATCATCAAAGAGAGCAATCCACGGCAGGAATTGCTCCAGGAACTCAGCCCATCCTTCGATCTCCGAGCGACGGCCTTTGCTCATCTTTCCACCATCAATCGCAGGCAGCTTAGGAACATAAGCTTCAGCTTTGGGATTCCTGATGGGAGCACCTCCCTCATCAACCTCCATTTTCCCCGACGAATCGGAGATGGAGCTAAGCTCTCCACCGTGGCCCTTGCCTCTCGCAGTAGGTGGCGCAGGCACTTCCCTGCTCACAAGAGCCTGAACTAGAGACGTAAGCTGGGCAACTTGCTGCTGCTGCTGCACCGTCTGGTACAGAAACGTCTCCACGGTGGGCGGTGATGGTGCATTCACTGGCGAAACTCCACCAAACTCTGGCAAACCTGGTGGGGGTGGCAACACACCTCCAAGAGGGTTCGGCGAGCCAGCTGGGCTTCCCACCACCGGGCTTCCGGTTGGATGCATACCCCGTTCCAGAGCCGACAAGTTCGACACCGGACTAAAAACAGCACCCCGAGGCACACTGCTTGCTCTCGGCCTCTGGTAAGGCGGCGCAGCGTCTGACCTACTATTCCTTCGGATCATACCAGGCTCACCTGGCACATCACCGATGTTGAAGTAGCTTGGCCTGCCACGGCCTTCCATTTCTCACAAGCACAACCAAGCAAGCAACACGCCTCAAGTCAACGTATTGGGCTCTTTCTTTTGGTTGCAAGGCAACGAGCGTTCACCACGCTCCGCTACCACGTTAAAAACCTACAAGGCGAACAGCCCTTCAGGTTTAAGGCAAACAAGTTCCAACACCCTTGCAAGCAAAGCAAGCTCAAAAAACACTCGGACAGTTCACACTTTCAGCACGCACAGCTCACTGCTGGTCTCACGTGTCTTGAGCCAAACGACAGTAGTCGTGGCACCTCTTAAAAGCTCCAAGCACTACAAAACAAGGGAAAACAGGTTGAGGCTACCGCAAAACCGTCACGCAAGCTCAAACTACGTTCTACAGGCACTGACCACCTGAAACTAGCAAAACTGTACAACTATACAGGTACCGAGGAAAAAACTCTGTGTCGCACCTAAAACACCACTGGGCAGAGCACTGGTTTTCTACACACTCAACGCTGAAGTAATGGGCTCATTTCCAAACCATAGCGTCGAACCCGTGAAATCAAGAAATGAAAAACATGAGAAGACTACAGGTCCGTGCTCATCTTCTCTATCTCGTTCCTCCACCTTCGGAAAGCACACGGCAAACGAGAGTGCCTCAACTGCTGAAGCAGTGCGAGCTTTGCGAAAACATGCTTTGATTCATGCATACTTTTGCTAAAGAAGTGTTGACACCGTTTGGAACATGATCTGGACTACAATGCTGAAGGCACCATGCACAAAAACCGTGCATGGTTCCCGCCTCGCCGTTCATTAAACTTTTAAAAACCTAAACGGGGTGTAGGATCCGGCCCTAGAAAAAAGGACCCAGGTAGGATCCGGATACCCGGTAGGACCCGGTGAGACCCGGATTCGATTTGGCTAGCAAAGTATCGGACACGTGACAAGCAGATGAAACTTCTTGTGGGAAATGGGCCGGTGACACCTGGATAAGACCCGGCAAGAAAAAACAACGAGATTCGGTGACGCAGAAGTGGGACTTGGATTGGCCCGGTGGGACCCGGTTGGGACTCCTCGCAAAAAAGCGGGACCTTGTGACCACTGGCTTCAAAACCACACGTTGATGTGGCTTGAGAACCACACGTTGAGTGGCCTTGATGTGGCTTCAAAACACACGTTTGTGGCTTTGGGCTTCAAACCACGTTTGTGGCCCGGATGTTTCAAAGGGGTTGGTTCCGAACATTTGCGATTTGCAAAAAAATGGAGCCGTTTCGCGTTCCGAAAACAAAGCTGTAACATGCGCCAGCCTTATTGAAAATAGTTTGAGCATGAGTTGGAGACTCAGAACTCGAAATCTAAAAATGGAGTACATCCGCCTGACTGCTACACAACAAGCGACTGGACACACAGACTCCAGCTTGAAAAAAAACAAGCTTTCAGGATTATTTTTTTCTCGACGTTTGTAGATTTATCGGCTTGCGCGTGTCATTCTCTTGCGCAGGAGCCAGAAAAATCTTCTATCTCGTTCTTCTGTCTTCGGAAAGTGCACAGCAAATGAGAGTGCCTCAACTGCTGGAACAGTGCAAGCTGTGCGAGAACATGCTTTGATTCATCCATGCTTTTACTGAAGAAGTGACTCTGCAGTAGAGAGGTGGACTTAGATTGGACAAGCTGGCCGGACGCGCAACGGCAGTGGAGCGGCCTGGAAGGTATGCCCATCGTGGGACAGAGGAGAGGAATGCAGCAACCTTGGGGAGAACCCTATTGGCAAGCAGCGAGGCTAAAAAATTGTTACCTGGATGCAGCAACGAAATGGGCCGAACTTGCTTGGGGAGTTTCACCACTGCAACCTTCGGGACCTGAACCTTATGCCACCTAGTATGCAAGGAGGATTGCTGCAGGTTCATGGCCGGAGAAGGAGAAGGAGCCAGAGTCGAAGCTGTGTCCTTCCAGAGTCGGGAAGGGGCGAATCTTTGGGGCAGAGCTTTGCGATGCTGTAGTCGCTGCAGACCTAGCCTAATTTCCTCAAGGGAAAACTGCACGCCCGAGAGTGGGGAGGCCGTGGGAGGAAGCTTGATGTGGCTGCTTCCATCCCTGAAGAATGCCGCAATGGCCTCAGTTTCCTGTTGCGGTGAAAGAAGAATGCCCTGTTTGTCCCGAGATACGCTGACGAGCCTTCGGAACGAGCCTCCGGACACTGTAGATGGCAGAGACGTGTGGGGAGGCAGCAGCCTCCTGAAGGAGAAGGTCGATGCTCACGTTTCTTGTCGCGACAGATGCGATGGAGCTGTTTCTGAAGCTTGGATAATCTGGCGGCCAGCTGCCAGGCCCTAAGAAAAGGACCAGGATGCGGTTCTTACGAAGCAGGCGGAGTCTCCAGAGCTGTCGCACCAGGCCCCCGAGTGAGGCTTCGTGCCGGTAGGTTTGGACACTTGGGGAAGTGAGCTGGAGACTGAGGCCCAGGCGGAGAGCAGTGCAGAGTTGACCAACTCCACAGGATTCTGATCCGAGGGAGGGCCGAGGTGCCATCAGGGGTCAAGAGGGGAGAAAGAAGCTGCTGAACCTTATCCTGAAAACACTCGGTCAGATGTGGATGTTCACTAGGCATGGAGTTGACCACCGACGAGGAGACAGACTTGCTGTAAGTCGAGGCCTGAGGACGACGAGGCCTGGGAAGAGAAGCCAGAAGAGGAAGATGGTGCATCCCGGAAGTTGGGACAAAGGGAGTCCTCAACGGTCTCGTCCCGCGGGCAATGGGGTCGGCCTGATGAGCTCGAAGGAGTATGAAGTCTATCTGTGTCTGTTGGAGGCCGTCTCTTCTGGGAAAGCGATACGTGTAAGCGTGTTTGCGGCGCTGCCACGTAGTAAGCGCGTTCAGACCGAAGGAGGTTAGCAGTTGCTGAAACCGCGGTTGATCGGTTTGGCGGATGGCAGCTACCGGAGGAATACCGGAACCAGCAAGCGACGGCTCAGGAACACACGGGGTATTAAAATCCCCGGCTATGACCAATTGAGCACGCCATGGGGTACCTCGAACCGCCGAGTGCAGAGAGCTCCAAACTTCCTCACGGTGCCACTGGATATCCTCACCGTGAGAAGAGTCACCCCTCAACAAACTGGTAAACAGCAAACACAACGATGGCAGGTTCTGTGTCGATGCGGAGCTGAACAAGACGGCCAGGGATATGGGCATGTGTGCGAATGGCTTGTGCTTGAGCAAACGACTTGTCAATGAGCAAAAGAATGCCAGCCTTTCTGTTACTGTTGCCACTGTGCACCAGAAAATGATCTTCAGTTTGCCACTCCGACTCGAGAGACCAGTGTGTTTCCTGAATGATACACAAGTGCACAGGAGAGCCCATTTCCTTACACTGTCGAAGCCAGGTCTGAACCTCCAGCAGTTTGGTGGAGGAGAGCCCCCCCGCGTTCCAAGTGAGGAGTCTCCACCTGGGGTGTCTGGGAGGGGTGAGGGACGGCTTAGGTCGCTGGACTTGAGAGCTTGACGGGAGGTCCTGGGAGTCAGAGGAGACACCCAGAGAGCCAAGTGTATGCAGTCTTCCTCTATACTGGGTGGTGCCATTGAGACGGGCTCGTCGGATAGCCCGGTAGAGCGATCTTTTTCCTGATTTGCTAAGGTTTGGAAAAACAGTGTGTGAGGTCGGGGGATGGGTTCACGAAGCTTCACCCGTTCGTTGTTGGGAAAGTGGTGGCGGTTGTTGGGGGTTCCAGCAGGGGTCGTGACTATTCCTGCAACCCTCGCATCTGTGACCGCAGCTGCAGAGAAAAGGATATGGTTCGGGGGACAAACTGCAAAAATTCTGTAGCTGTGATCACCCCGGGAATTGGGACCCGGGCGGCTCGATCGTGTGGTTCTGGTGCATACCCGTACTTGCTGCATCGACATGGCCTGTGATTTCGGTGGCAAGGCCAGTGCATGTGGAGAACGACCTGACTGCTGTGTGCTCCCGGGGGAGACAGCCAGCGGAGGAGAAACCTCCGAGAGGGAGCCTAATCTGGCAGCAGCTTTACTCCTAAGAGGGGGGGGGAAAGGGAACGCAAGCAGCAGTTCTAGTGGCTGCTCCCGCCTGTAGGAGAAGAGGCGGGCTGTCGGCGCGGACCTGGCTTCGGTGAGGGTTCAGGAAAGCTTCCAGATAGGCAGCTGACTGCCGGAGGTGTTTCCACACCGGTATTGGGCGATGGCTGAAAAGCGAAAAACAGTTCGAGGGCCAGACCCAAAACGGAAACCGGTCCCACTGAATGCTAAGACACAGCCATCTAATGCGAGCTTTGGGATTTCGCAGCCTTGGGTGCCTCGATCTGCGGTACCGTCGTCCCCAGCAAGGAGGTCGAGGACCTGTGGGCTCTGCATGTTGCAATGCCCCAAGGGAGGGGAGAGGCCGTGCCAGGGTATGAGCGGACTGCCTTCGCAAAACCAGACCCATCGGAGTGCAAGGAGCCTACAGCCTCACCCAGAGTCCCGTACATCAGAGTGGTGCCAACGTGCAGTGGGGAGTCGGGGTGAGAGGAGAAGCGGGAAGGAGTGGAGGCTTCCCGACGGTGCACACTTGAAGCGAACCAAGCACTGAAAGAAGCTGAGCAGGGACAGTGGACTGCAGAGAACTGCTGAGCCAGGGGTCCCACAGTCCTCTCGTTGGCCATGGAGGTGTGGCCTGCCACTGTAACGATCCAAGACAGGGAACAGAGAAACACCTAGATGTGCATATTGGGACTGGTCCGGCAGGGTTGCAGAGCCACATGTAAATCTGCTGAGCATGCAGACGGCGAGTGCAGAGCAGGTAATTTCCGCAGCGACAGAGGTGCCTATACTGGAAACAACCTTCGCAACGGAGGCCTGATCTGACCAACATCTTTGCAGCAGTGCGGGAGGGGCGTTGTCGCCTTTGAGGCTCCATAGGCACTTCCGGCAGAGGTGCCAGTAGAGGGGGCTCTTCGAGCTCCGGGCCAAAAAGATTCTCCGATGCTGTCGGAGGAGAAAGAATAGCCTTCTGAGGGGCACGGCGATCATTAGCAACCTCGAGTCCTGCATTCGACATGTCGACCGAGCCGGTAGAGGAGCCCGGAAGTGAGGCTGAACCCGAAGCCACCGCCCGATGCATCTGCTGGGGAACCTGCAGGTGTGGCGCTGTGGTTGGCCTTGCTTCTCCTCGAGGGCGCTTGCGATTTCGGGGCATAGTAGAGGAGTCAGGGATAGGCAACTATGTAACTATGTAGATGAAGAGGGAGCAGGCGATGCCGTAGTCGAGGAGAAACCTGTGGCACTGGAGACAGCTTCAGCCGAAGACGAAGAGCTCGGAACTAGGCTGAGCAGGCCTGCGACAGGCTTTCCAGAGGCAGGAGGGCGGTGCCCCCAGAGCCTCCCTTCAGCTTGGTCCGTGGAGGGCTGGTCAAGTGACTCCCAAGAAGCTGGCGAGGGAAACTCTGCAAGAAGGGAGTCATCGCCCGGCCAATCATTTGCCATGCGGGGAATGCTGCTGCCGGCAGAACAGGAGTCTCGCTTGGCCAAAGATGCTGAGAGGCAACTGTTCAAAAGTAGTGCAATGCTGGGACGGGTACACAAATGGCTCGCACAACACACGATGCACTTCCCCAGCCTGCAGAGCAGGAGGCTGACAGCAGTACTGCCGGTAAGGCCCCTGGCTGGCCAGCGTGGTGGATCCTCGTGCTCGGTCCTGACAGGAGCAGAAGGGAGGTGACAGAGGTCGAGAGAATCTGCTACATGATGACATCGTGCCAGGTGGCAGCCCTTGCAGGAATCATCATGCAGTGAGGCCGGAAGAATCCCAGCACAACAGTCCCCAACCCTTCCTAGTGCCCAAGCAAGCTGAAAATCCTGCATATATGCCGCACTGTCTGGAAGCATCGCTGCAGATTCCGTCGGAGCACTACCGAGATCATCAGTGTCTGTGGAGAGAGACCGGAGCCGGCTGTACAGTATCATCCTTGTCGGCCGTTAAGGTACCACAGCCGAGGCTGGAGTACCCCCCCCCCGTCTCAGGCAGGTCCATCGGTGCGGATTCCATCGGCTGAAGTGTCACTGGTGCCGACGATGGAGCTTCTGCAAGTTCTGGCGGCGCTTCTTGCTGGAGGAGGAGGGGGTGGAGCCGGATCAGGCGGTGGATTTTCCAGTGCAGTGCGAACCCAGGACGGAAGGTCCGGGAGGGGAACCTCGCCACCTGCATGCTGCAGATACCACGTGCTGAGTTCTCCATCGCCGGCAGCAGGCCTGGAGGTAATGGTGCCCACTTGAAGAAAATTCAGATGCCCATCTTGTCGGGTCGGGTGCACCAACTCAACCATCCTGCTTGGCGTGCCAGGAGAGGATGGCTCCGGTGGGGTGACTGTGCCAGCCTCATCGTCGCCACCCCCGACTACACTAGAAGGCTCTGCAGTTGCTTCCCTCTCTGTCTCTGTGGTGGTCGGATGGACGGCAGCATCGACAGTGGTCAGCATTGGATCCTGGGCATCGTGAGCCTCCTTGGCAGGAGGTTTGTTCTTGCTTTTGACCGCCGTTGTAGAAGAACGATCAACTTGTGTGCTGCTCTCATCTTTAGCCTGGCCAGAATGCTTGGATCGAAGTAGCCTTCCAACTGACCCGCGAGCATGTAGAGAGCGATGGAGTCGGGAGGGATCCACGTCGGACTCCATGATCGGTTCAACAGGTTGAGCCATCAGGTCCGAAACTCTCCTTGGCTTCCAGGAGTGAGTCGGAGCCTTGGGCATCGATTTGGCCCGTATCGCAGTGTAGGGCCCAGTTGTCGTGGAAGCCGAGGCACTCAAGGTCACCGTATTGGATTCGTGGTCCAGGTCAATGATGTCTGGCTGTGCCGACGGCAACGGGGGCGAAGGAACAGGCTGTTCCGCCCGGGTCGGAGGCAAAACCTCCGGTTCCAACTCGATCTCCACCTCGACCATGTCATCTTCTGGATCAAGGTCCATGGCCATCTCTGCGTCTGCACTGTCATTGGCACTTGCAGGAGGCGTGCGAGGCTCTGGTACATCCTGGGAAGAGGAAGCTGCGCGATTCCTTTGTGTGTACCGGCCAGGTCGCGAAGCTGCTCTCGGAGGTGGTGGCGGGGTTCGCGGTTCACGTGGGGGCGGCAGAAGTAGCATCGGAGGCTCGACGAGGACGACTGTAGAGCGTCAGAGGCCTGGGAGAGCGTCCCATGCCAGTACCCATTCCAGGTCCAGAGCCATCCTCAGTGTTGGCAGGTCCTGGACGGGAGGAAGCACTTGCGACCTCCCACAGCGGCTGCTCTTGTGGATGGTCCTTCACCCACTGACGAGTCCTTTTGTCCGGTCTACGGGACTCCCGCCTATAGTCGCGGAGAGTCTTCACTCTGCGACTCGGGGTTTCCAACCGCACAGGTCCTTCACCACCTTCACCATCTCCATCTTCCATGGAGTAGGCTGTCGTCACCGTTTCCGTCGCGGCCCCTACAGGAAGAGCCAGCAGCCCTGTGATGGCACAGGCTTGAGAGAAACAGTATGCCATGCAAGCTAGGCAGGCAGAGGCATATAAGGTGCTTCCCGGAGCAGGCGGTCCTTCCTCAAGAGAGGGGTCCCAGCAGCCAGCTGGAACAGTCGCAGAGACGTGAGGCGGGAGGACCGGCATTGGAGGAGGTATAAGCAACGGAGGGGAACCTCCGAAATGAAAGGAACACCACGGAGGGGAACCTCCCTGTGCATGCATTAGGCAGCTGTGGTCCACCCACCTACACTCCCTGTACATCAACTGCCTGTAACCCTCAGCGTAGAGCGAGAATTGAGTCCCCGACGCTGTGAAACCAACTGCGGGCCTGAGTGGAGACAATGGCAAGGCAGGAGGAGACTGGGAAGGTAGGAGGGCAGCAAGAGGTGTCGGAGGGGAACCTCCCGGCAAGAAACCTTTTTCACTTTGTCACCTGCTGTGTCAGAAGCCTACAAGCCAAGAAGGAGCACACACAGTCTGAGATCTCGACCATTATGCAGAACTCAGCATGAGGTTCTTGTGCTGTGTGCACAGGCCACGAAACTGTGAGCCATTGCCCGAAAGGGCAGCCAGACTCGCAAAGCGAGTGATTCCAGTGTTCTATCCGGGACCGGGGGTCCATGAGGCCTGCAGGCTTGTAAGATCCAGAGGTGCAGAGGTGGAGCAACAGTAGTAGACCTAGGCCAATCACCGCAGTCCTAGTCCATAGCATGTAGACTGCCCTGAATCGAGCATTGGTACCACGTGGCCAACATGCTGCCTGCAAAGTCAGGAAACACCAGGGAAGCTTCCATGTAGAACTGGTGCCTGGATTCCAAGGACAGGAGAGGGAAAAGTTCGATCCAGATGACATGCTCTGAGCATTTACTCCAATCATCCAAATAAAGCTTATACAACTCCATGCGAGCCGAGTGAGGGAGAGCCCGCCAGCGTTCCAGCATGCAAGATAAGGCCAGGTAAAGAATGCCTCGGTGCTGCGGCGACTCAAAGGAGGTTCTTCCTCGCAGCTGCAGAGGTATCTTGTTCCTTCCAGACAAAGCAGAGACCATGGCATGCGTCTCAGACTAAAGGAGGAGAAGCCCTGAACGCCCCGAAAACACAGGCACCGCAGGAAAGAAGCCAAAGGACACCAGGGGCACACCGAAAGGGGGGAGCCCTTCTCTTTGCGAGCCGAGATGCTTAGTAGTAGTAGTAGTAGTAGTAGTAGTAGTAGTAGTAGTAGTAGTAGTAGTAGTCGTAGTAGTAGTAGTAGTAGTCGTAGTAGTAGTAGTAGTAGTAGTAGTCGTAGTAGTAGTCGTAGTAGTAGTCGTAGTAGTTAGTAGTAGTATTCATGATAAGATCAACACTAACACTAATTGGACTAGCAATAGCACTTGTAATCAATCATGCTAACAATGCTCTTAATATTACTTCTAGTCACCAACAACAATCATAACCAGTTCTACTAGTTACAGTAATACTAATTCACACTAGCAAACAAAGAAATAACAATAATAGTAACAAGGGATGTGTAGGGCTCGGGTTTCTGTCGGGGCGAACGGTGTAGACCTCTGAAGTCAGTCGTATATGAGAACCAAGAAGTGTTACGTTACGACGAACAGAAACAACAATCCTGCGCCAATGTCGGGAATCGCCGCTCCACTGGCGACAGTACCGAAACGTGATCCTGCAGCTCTCGCTGAAGCTGCCGCGGCAAGAAGCCGCAACAAGGAAACTGTGGCTATAGCAACACAGAGCGGGTGCGATTCATGCGCATAGTGTTGGTGATGGTAGTAGTGTCGCACCTAACACGAAGAACGGTGGGACTGTGGCAGTAGCGCAGTACACGATCATGGGCCGGGGCGATATGTCTGATAGCAGACGCTACCATCTTCATCGCCATGACGATCATCATCCTCATGATCATCCTCATCATCATCGCCATCACCATCGCCATCATTTTCGCCATCATCGCCATCATCATCATCATCACCATCGGCAGCATCAGCAGCAGCGTCCTGACATTGTAGATCGAAGTGGCGCTTCAATTCTGTCCAAACGATCGAGGAACGAGTGACTTGTACATCTCGAGACATGCAGGAACGGTACTATCGTATAGAGTACGGCCAACAGCTTTGATTAGTCCGGCCCCTTACATGTTCCTAAACCCTAAACCCTTACATGTAAGGCCTCAAAGCACATGTGCAGATCTGGGGGGTGGACACAGTTTAGGAAGTCCGGCGAGGTGCCTGCGGCCCAAGACTTCCTGGGAGTCCGAGGATGAAAACGTTTGCGGCCTAGTGGGGATGATGGGGGTTTCCGAAAATGGGGGATTGAAATACAGTACTCTGAATAGTAGGATCCTTACCATAAGGACCCCAGAATAAGGTACTCTAGTTTTTGGAAACTCCCATGTCGGTTCGGGCTTACTATAGGTGTCTGAATAATTGGGTACTTCTCTTCCCAAGGGCCCAGAGACCGCCTCCGAAAGGCTTTCCCAGCAAGAGGCCGAACTGCGACACGCCCAAACTCGAAACCTTAGACGGCAGCAGCATACCTTGGGTACTGCCCCTCTCAGCAACAGTTGGATAATATTCATAATATAGATATATTAGGCCCTTCATAGTCGCCCTATTATAGACTGTTACTGTATGGGGGCAGTACCCAAATCATACCTTTTGCAAGCCGCCTTCGGCAGGGGCTTCTCAACGTCTTCTCACGAAATGCTGACTGCGATGCAGATGATGATAGGCTTCATTGCTCTTGCCGTTGTTCCTGTTGTAATGCCCTGTCGAGGCCGTGGTTTTGGTCTGCTTCGGTTTCTGTCGGATATTTACATTATTGTGATTCTTCTGCTCTTCGCATTGTTCATTGTTCGAAGTGTTTTGTGCTGTTGCTGCTTTTGCTGCAATGGTGTTCACCATATGCGTCGCAAACCCTAATCCGAGTGTACCTGCTCGTATCATACGAGCATTGTCCCATCTTTCCTAATCCTCGTATCTGCACAAAGCCGTTCAGAAGGATCTCGATGGCTATGGCGGGTCTACGGCTTAGGGTTTAGGGTTCAGGGTCTAAGGTGATTTCTGGCACTGTGCCTGTCGTGGTCGAGCTGTAGGTTAGCACCCCTAAACTTTGGAACTCTAAGCCTCAAGCCCTGCACCCAAAGCCCTAAACCGTAATCTGGAAGTTTCACAAGTACATGGACCCCGGTATAGATTCTGCATGAAAGGAAACCTTAAACTGAACATAAGTATCCTTATTGCGAGGACCGCTTGTGTAAGGTATCATCCCACATGAAGGCCCAACCCTCAAAACGACAATAAAATACCGAAATGTAGTTCCCTGGCTGGACAACTAACGTTTCCAAGGCGCCTCTTTGTGCGCGCTGCCGAGCTCCGCGACTTCACCGGGCAAGGGCCTCAGCTGTGGAAGTGGGGTTCGGGCCCTTACCCTGAACCGTCGATGCGACCATGGGTGTTTGCTGAAAATTCGGGGTCTCTTTTCGGGGATCCCTTTCTTGTAATTGTTAACCTCCCACCTGTACAAGGGCGGCACCCACCATGGACCAGGTTGGGGAGGGGCGGGGGGGGCGGGGAGCGCGTGGCAATATTTCGGGATACTTCGAATCTAAAACCCCTAAACCCTAAACCCCAAGCCCTAAACCCTAAGCCCTAAACCCCAAACCCCAAACCCTAAACCCCAAACCCTAAACCCCAAACCCCAGACCCCGAACCTGAACCTGCCAGGCCAACTTCTGTCACCATTGTGGGCTGCGTCGACAGGCCACTGCGAAATCTGAAGCCCTAAATCTCCAAATCCCTCAACCCTAAACCCTAAACCCTAAACCCGAAATCCTAAACCTAAACAAAGAACGGAAAGCTTTGCGCATCCAAAGCCGAAGCCTTTTTTCCTGAATCCTAGTTGGTTATTCGGCCTGAGTATAGTCAAGACAGGGCCTTGGGGAGATATTCTGAAGTTGTACAAAAGAGCTTTTCGGGCTCGTACTACACGCTGCATACGAAGTTACTCAGGCCCCCATTTTATTTGAGCTCAACCCTAAACCCGAATTTCTGTTCAGACTCCTCCATGGATCGGAGCAACCACTGAGGCCAATAGCGAGCACATGAAGGCATTGAGTTTTTTGGGGCTCAGGGCTGTTAAGCTCAGAGATTGAAGGACCGTACATTTGGGGTTTAGGGTTTAGGGTCATGGAATCCCATAGCAGCCTGTAAGCGGATTCAGAATACGCCACTTAAGCACCTGAAGACAACAACAGCCCCAAGCCTGTGAACCCACAGCCTTCAGCCCTTGCTAGCAGAAAATCGACCCTAAACCCTAACCCCTAATCCCTCAACCCCTAAACCCTAACCGCTAACCCTTAACCTTTAACCCCTACCCCCTAAGCCCTGACCCCTAAAAGCGCAGGCCCCGATTCCGGCCCGGGAGTCGGAACTGTGGGCCGAAGTGACGGAGAAGGACCAGGAAAGCAGGCTGTCGCTCGGCTTAGGGTTTAGGGGTTAGGGGTTAGGGGTTTGGGGTTTAGCGTTTAGGGTTTAGGGTTTAGGGGTTAGGGGTTTAGGGTTTAGGGGTTAGGGGTTCAGGGTTTAGGGGTTAGGGGTTTAGGGTTTAGGGGTTAGGGTTTAGCGGTTAGGGTTTAGGGTTTAGCGGTTAGGGTTTAGGGGTTAGGGGTTAGGGTTTAGGGTTTAGGGTTCCGAAAGACGGGGTTGGGAGTTTCTCGGGGTGGTTGTGAGGCTGCTATGTGGGCCTGATGGGGTTTTGTAGGAGGCTTCGTCGGTTTTGTGCGAGATGTCATAAGCTTCAAAGTAGGATTCTTGCCGTTCCGGGGCAGTGTCAGGGTTGTACGCGGGTTTTATAAGGGCTATCTAGGCCGCTTTAGAGCGGGTTTATAAGGGTGTTCTATGGAGTGTCTTCCCTACTTGGAGGTTCATGGGTATTTACAACTAGGGTCATGAGTAGGGTAACTATAGTTATAACCCCTGCTAGGAAAACTATAGCCCCACCTATAACTACCCTTGAACCCTATG